AAATAGCTGAAAAACCAGGAATTTTCCAGAAATTCTGCTGATACAAATTTGTCGATAATTGTCTGTTTTACACTCTAAAAAGTTTTCAAAATGATTGCAAAATTGACATCCGAGCTCCAGACCCCTGAAAATGATCAAAATAGACGAAAATCAACTGAAAAATAAGTTTTTGTATATATTTTCAAAAAGATCCTAAACGCAGGGGTTCGCTTTTTTATTCTCTGATATGGCGAGATGCAGTGATAATTTGATTTTTTTTAGTTTGAGAGCTAGAAATTCTTAAAAGCGTCTGTTCCTAGCTTGATCAATGTTTCCCTTTTTTCCAATCTATTTTGAAAGAGTGTTTGATTGCATTTGAGTCACCTTAATACATTCGCTATATAAATTTATAGAGTTTTGTATAGTAATTCATAAAAAATTGTCTCAAAAAATTATCCGGCGAAAAAAAGAATTCTATGCAAATATGAAACTCCTTTGGCAATATTTTTAAACCTTTGGCGACAATGTCACTCACTCTGATATATTGACAATTGCTTATCATGAGTTTTCGATTTTCCGATTTTTTTTTTCGTGAAGCTTACATACTTTTTTGAATAAATACTATCAGGAACTATTCTAGGGACAAATTGTCTAAGAAAAACGAAGACACCGAAAAGTATGAAACAGATGGGAGGATTGGATTTCAATTTATTTGCTCATGTTTGCGGTCACATTTGTCGCGACAATTATAGGCGTGGTGTAGGAGCGAAATGGCTCCGGAGAGCAGCAGCAAGTTCTTGAGAAATGCGCCAAGTGCTCATCGACATATGAGAACTGTGTGTGTGTGTATTTGACCTGTGTGAGCACTAGCGAGTTTTTCACACCTTTTTCTTTACCCTTTTTGATTTTCCAAATTTTTCTTTTCCTTGAAAATCGAAATTTGAAAGGCTGTATCCCATGCATTTGTAATTTTTCATCTCCCCAACACCACAAGTGGGCCCACAGATCCGATCTAAAATGCATGGCGTAAGGTTCTCAATTGCACGTCGTCTTCTACCAAGATAAGCTAGGCTTCTAGGGATAACAAATTGACATGCATTTGATCATCACTCACTTTAGAGCCTTCTGGTTTCTCCTTTTCTTTTTTTTCTCAATTTGTTCCTTCTAAAGCTCCCAAATGAATCATTTCTCGTGAGTGGGCGCCCGAGCAGCTCCTTTTTTAGGATTTCGAAATTAAAATTGATTGATTAGTTAGGGGTTAATGCAGACAAGACACTTCCGTATCACCAAAATTTCTTATCATTCCTCCCCCATCCGAGAACGGTCGACCACAGTTATGTCAAGCCTATCATCATTGATGATGACCTAATCGAGGGGTTCATCATTACAGTTTAGCGATTTCCTTTTATCTTTTTTTTAGGCCGACAAAAAGAAAAAATTCCTTCATTATTTTTTCTTCTAATTATCTTTTTATCTATTCTGATAACATTATTGATGGTGATATCCTTTTGAACTTGGAGAGAAATTCCTAATAAGTCAAAGAAACCCATAAAACAGAAGGCGGCAATAAATCATCAGAGCTTTGACCCGTTCTACGCCCATAAACGTCATGAATCCAAACCTTGTGCCTTGTTCCTTTTGAAATCAGTCGACCTCTCTCTTTCCTCACATTTATACCATGCCCTTGTATGCAACTGACACATAACTCGTTTTTTTTCTCATCACATTTTCGCGCCAAAAGCGACAGTTACCTCGAATAACTGATCGGTGATTTTGACATTGATGCATTTGCGGCTGACTGGTAAAAGGGAGGGACAAAACAACATCCCCTCTGCCCGTTATATCAAAATGGGCATTTTTTGAGTGATGGGTTTCGATTTGAGAAAAAGAAACGAAAACGGATAAACAGGAATTGGATTTTTTTTGGTTTAAAGATTTGGAATACGTTTTATGAGGAAAATTGTATTTTCAATTCTTACCTTGGGTTTTAAAGCTAGCATTTTAACTCTGGAGGAGTTTGGAAACTATCTTACCGTACGCACTCTAATAAATTACTACCTAACCTGTCCACTTTAAACCTTTATATCTCATTTTCTGTTAGTGATATCAAAAAGTGGTAAACTAACAAAATATGGCTGATGTTATGATAAAAATTTTGTTAGTTGACCACTTTTTGATATATGTCATAGGAAATGAGATATATGAGCTCAAAATCAATGGGTTGGATGGCATTATATTATAGAGTTTACGATTAGATAATTTCTAAAATCCTTCAGAGTCTGATTCAAACATCATGATGACAGTTTTTTCTTTAAAATTTGAGCGCAATTTCTTGAAAATTAGGCTATGAAACAAGGATTCCATGAATTCGAAATTGATTTTTTTACTCGAATTCAGTTAACACGATTTCGAAATAGCTTTGTTGGAAAAAAAAACGAATCTCAAGCTTTCTAACCTTTTTAATGCCGAAAAACATATTCGAAGCATCTTTAAAATACACTATTTCCATTCTGAAAAGATTTTTATCCTAGTGAGGACTACTGTACCTCCTTGCCTTAATTTCGGGATCCGTTACTTTTGGATCCAACTTTTGGCTCCAAGTGTCCCCATATCTTCCTTTCCAATCCTATTCCTTTCCTTATTTTCTGTTTTTCTTAGTCCCACCAGCACCACCACAAAAAAAAAAGAAACAACGTCGTCGGTTAGAATGGGCTTATTTTCCATCCTCGGGGTTTGTGCTCCTCCTCTTCCTTCCCCTTCTTCGTTTTTCTCTCCCGAATTTCTCCTTCTTCCCGCCATCATTCGTTTTAGCAGAGGGCGCTGATGGCGCCCCGTTTTCAGAAGGCATCGTTGGTGGAGCTGGTGGGGGTTTTTTTTTCCGGAGAAGCTACGAGAGCCAGTGCTCATCTTGCCCCGACCGGCTACTCGTGCCCACGCCCCCCTTACGGACCCCGCCTCTTTTTCCGGAGGCGTCGTGACCACGACCCGCCTCTATCTCTAACTAAGTCTCTGTTGTGTGCCCCTCGCCTTCTGCCCTCATATGGGGCTACTGTAAAGGCGGAGCTTTTAGGGTAGGCGATGTGAAATCCATTCAGTCAGACGTTTCCTCGATAAGTGCACCATTTTCAAAATTGCCATCGATTTTCGGATTTTTTCATCTTGCACTCTTTTGTTGTCTATACATATAGATTGCATAAATAGAGACTTTTATATTGTCATTATTGTCACAAAATGTTCCATTCTACAAAGAAAAAACTGTCCAATCAAACAGAACAACTGCTTAAACATTGGAGCCCACCACAACCACTGTCGTTTTGCCTTTTTTGATGTTTCTACATACATATTTGTTTTTTTTGTGTTGTATCCGTTTTTTCTTCCTAAAATGGCCTATATATTCCATCTCAATTTCTCCCTCTCTCTCGCATTTTTCTTGCCTTTTTGGAGCCCTTCCAAATATATGTATATGCTTGTCTCACTCCGGCCCCATGTATTTGGGGATGGGCGTGTGTGCTCCGTGGCATCGTCGGGCATAAACGCACATTGAAATGATGAATTGCGCAGTGTCTCGTCACTTTTCACAAGCCAATTCTTGTAAAAGAAAAAGTTTTCACCATCTTTTTGAAAGTTCTAAAAGTCATATCTACCTCACCACCGTTCCTCATTTCCCCTCAAATCCTCCCCAAAGTTGTTCAAGCCCTCAAAAAGGGTATTTGTGAAGTACTGGAAGTGGGGAACTAGTTTCTTTTTCACATAGCAACATATTGATGAGGCGCAGAATGGGAAAGGAAAATTAGTTGATGCACGGTAACGCTTGTGTACAACAGGATCGTCGATCAAGAAGACAACAACTTTGGACAAAAAGTTTCGAAATGATCTTAGATGATTTCAAATGCTTGATCTTATTTTCTAGCCATTTTGGACCATTTCTAAACCGTTTAACCCATCAGAAATCACGTCTGACCCTTAGAAAATCTATTGCGGGTGAAAGAGCCGAAGGAACAACACCGGTTTTTTGTCTCCTGTCCTTGCTTGTTCTTCGGTACGGTTGCATTTGTGTTTTGTCAATCATTTACAAGAAAAGACAGACCATTTAGATAGACTCAGACTGTTTAACTAGACTTAGAATATTCAGCTAGACTCAGACTGTTTAGGTAGACTCCTAGTTTTTTCCTTATTTCTAAAATCGAATTTTTTCTCATTTGGCTTTTGAGGCTTTCCTGGACGCCCCCTCCATTCTTATTTCCCTTTCGTCACCGTCTGTCATCATTCTATTGAAGCGGCATTACTTTTTCAATTAAAATGTTTTCTCTTTCCCTTCTTCAATTTTTTCGTTCTCCTCCTGTCCATAGCTTACAGAAAAAAGCCAGGACAATAGCGTCGGACACAACTTTACAGTTTCCAGCCTTAGCAATTTAAAAATTACACTAGCAGGCAGTAAATATGAATGAAACTGACCATTCTCGAACACTGTACCCCATCTCCCGCCCATCCTTTTCTCTTCCCTTCTCACTCTATCAGTTCTCTCTTTTAAGAAAGACCGAAACGACTTATTTTATGGAGCGTCGTTAAGATTTTTCGGCTCAAAAGTTTGCGCCCCGTCGCCTTTTCCGGAGTTGACTTCACTTGTCAAGAAGAAGATTCTTAGCAATCTCGGTCACAAAATTTTTAGTTTGGAGTATATTTTTTCAACGGATTTTATGAACCTAATTTGAAATTCGGTTGATTTCAATTTTCCCTCTTTTTTTTTGACAATCGTTCGTTCTACGAGGTAGTCTAGCCAAACCAGTTTGCGCAGATTTCCAAATATGTGTTTTTTCAAATCAGCCTATAACAGTAATACTGTATGTTTGTTTCATTTACCAACGAAACTTCCCAAAGGCGGAAAAAGACGAAGAAAAAAAAATTCGTACTATTGTGACTCAACGTTTGCCTCCTTCCTTCCCCTATATTTGGAGACTTTTTTGATTCTCTGTCCCAATTTTGTTTATACAACACAATCTGATTTCAATATTACTTTCAGAATGTTCGACGAGAACAGTAATGCCGCCGGAACGACGCCAGTAGCTTCATCGCTTGCCGCCACACCCAATGCCAATCTCATGTCACAAGTTTTCAATGTGAAAGACAGTCGGTGGTTACAGGTATGTCTTATTTTTTGGGATAACATGACGACTCATTTTTTCATTCTAATTTTAATTTCAATTTTTATCATATAAATGCAAAACTGCGGGTGCCCCAGACGTAATAGGAGACGTTATTAAGATGCGCTTGAAGCCAAACGGAAGACGTTTCGGTGGAAGAAGAGGGGAACGAAAAAGAATTGAATGACTCTGGGATGAGCTTTTCTCTCTTCTAGATCGGCGTGTTTGCCATCTTAGCTCTTCCGGGGGGGGGGGGGGGCTGACATGGTTCCCACAATTGTTTGATTAACAGCCTACCCAGGCCGTTGCGAAATCTTCCTGCCCGCACTTGATTGCTGAAATTGCTTGGGGGTACTTCAATTTTCAATTTCGTAGTCTCTTTCCAATTTCCTGGTATAGCTACAGTAGTCTTTTTTTGAAGAAGCTTCTCTTTGGAGTTAATTAAGTTTCTCTAGGTCATTGCGAAACATTGAAGAAAAAAAGAACCATTTGAAAACAAAAAGACCTCTGTCCTATTTTTCTGAGGCTTAAGGGAATTTGGGAAAAAGTGGAAAAGTGCGATAATAGGATTACAGTCTGTCCTTTCTCGGGAAAATGTTCTAGGCGCCAATTACAAACCTCACAAACCAAAAAAAAAAAGTATTTTTTGCACAGGTGGAAGTTTGTCGCGAATTTCTGCGAGGACAATGCGCACGATCGGATCAAGAATGCAAATTTGCTCATCCGCCGCCTAATGTCGACGTTCAACAAGGACGAGTGACGGCTTGCTACGACAGTATAAAGGTTTGCGAGGGGCTTTTTTTTCATGTTTTCGCTCACTGACTCATCGGGGTGGGCCACCACATGCTTTTCTTTTAAAGCCAACATATTATTCCGTTAGCGTATTGTTTATAAACATCTGGCGTATACTCGAAGAAAGTTTTGAGCAATTGTTTATGGCAAGGAGAGGGGCCTATTCTTAAATTCATAGAGTATCATTTCTGTCTGGACTATTTTTATGGCCTTCTCTGACTGGATGGCTCCCTGGAGATCGTTCCAGAGAGTGTTCTTGTAACAAAACGTTTTAGGAATGACTGATGGGCGACTTCAATGTTCTCGATAACGGGTCGCGAAATTTGCGACATTTAACAGATGACACCCCCGAGCGAAACTTTTGCCCGAATTCTGAGTAGCAGCCTCCAGGGGTTATTGCATTGTCTTATTCCCTATTCCTTTTGTTTGTGAGCTTGTTTCGACATATAGAACCATAGAACCCCATGGGAATTAGAATGAAGGTCGGAGGATGAGGATAACACAATTAACTGTTAGACGAGAAGGTCCCAAAAAGGAGGGGACGGGGGGTAATTTGCGGGAAAATGAGGCTGTTTCGCTTGGTTCCTCAATTGCTTCTAAGCCGGCTGGCTGCTGGTGACTGCTCAACACCACCACCACCGGAAAACATCGATATCAATTGAATTGTTTGTGGAAACGCGAGCCAAGGGACATTCCAAAACTGACGACTTCTTGATGTGCCATATCTCTATTTGAAATCTGTCGGACTTTGAAAAGAAATGGCGTGTGGAGAAGATGAAGATGTAGATGGCGAGCCAGAGCCCTCTCATAATTTTTGAATACACAACAATCCAATAGAGATTTGTAGAGTGGATAAGAAAGGAAGATAGCCAGTGCCTAGTTTGACTCACTGACATCTAGGAGAAGAGCCAAACTTGAAATACGACCCTAGGTCTTCCAAGTTGGAGATATAGCTAGGGACTTTGGAAAAGACTTTATTTCAGTGGTCCAGTACAGTACCGATCAATAGCATATGTGTTTTAGCTGATTTTTGGCATTTTCAAAAGTCTGGAGCTCGGTTATCAAGTTTCAAATCACTTTGAAAATTTTGAAAAATGTAGAACAACCCTAGATTGAAAATTTTGTATTTACAGAATTTTTGGAAAATTGCTATGTTTTCAGCTATTTGCCGTTTTCTGGAAGACACCGTTTCCCAAAGAAAGTTTCCTTCGGAAATCGGAGAATAGCGGAAAAACTAGGGATTTCCGAAAATTCTGTGAATGCAAAATTTTCCATCTAGGTCTGTTTTATACCCTCTGAAATTTTCAAAGTGAACGGAAACTTGACAGCCAAGCTCCAGGCTTCTGAAAATGGTCGAAAAATCAAAAAAATCAAATGAAAAACGTATTTTCGGGTTTTTCGCGGTTTTATTTTCGCGGTTTTGGATCAGGACAACTAAAAAATTTTAATAGAGCTGACCATGTCCCCAGAGGCAACTAAAGGAAAATTTCACTCAATTTCCGTCATTCTATGGAGAAAACAAAAAAGGAAGAGAAACGAAAAAAAGCTAAGCTAGAAGAAAGAAAACCGAGTCACCGAGACGGATGACTGATTAGGGACCAATTCCATTCCTTTTTTCATTCCTTTTTTCTTTCCAGGGAAGATGTACACGAGAGAATCCAAAATGCAAGTACCTCCATCCACCACAGCACATCAAAGATCAGTTGTTGATTAATGGTAGAAATCATTTGGCGCTCAAAAATTTGCTCTCCGCTCAAATCAACCAGGGTGGAAATCAAATGATCAACCCAATGCTGGCACTGGTATGATCTCCAAAACTCAAAAAAATTATGAAAATTGAAATTTTTCAGCAACAACAAGCAGCTGCAGTCAACTTGCTTCCAAACACTCAAATGTATCCACAGTACTACAACGGGATGATGTATCAACAAGTGCTTCCAGACCCATACGCAGCCGCTGCTCAGGTACGGTACCTTGAAAATAGCTTGATTATCCCTCCCCTTCTATCCTATGCACTTGCATCGTGTAAATGCCTATTCGCACCACCGATCTTTTTTCGAAAAAAATTTTTTTTGGAAGAGGAAGAAAATTACATAGCATGCATGACCTGATTTTTTTTTGTGAAAATACATACAGTAAACCCTCTAATAGAAGGCCACCCAGACCGCTATCTTTGAGCCTATTTATCTCGGTTTTTGTCGAAGATATTGAAAAGTAGTCAACAGATAAAATGTGTATCATAATATCAGCAATATTTTATCAGTTGACTACTTATTGGTATCTTCTACAGGAACTGAGATATATGATTGTAAAGGTGACGGTTCAGATGGACTTCTATTAAAGTATTTACGATAGATCAAAAATTTTGTGAAAATCAATAATTCTAGATACTCAAAAAATACTTTTCGGTTCATTTCCTTCTCCCTCACAATTTTTTCCTTTCATTTTTCATTCGGTTGCGAACGCTCGCTCTGCCTCCCTTCTCACACAAAACTCTCTCAAAGCACGTCTCATATAATTGGAAAACTTAAAAAATTAAAAAAAATACTTTGCGATGAATGTTGCACACGGTGTCTTTGGAATGGAAATTGGATGTTATTCATTTTGATTTGAGTATCTTCACATGTTTGCCCGGCTTTTGTGTTTCTCGAAACTACCTTACTATGCTTAAAGTGACCCTTAAATAGCCCGAAAACTTTCCGGATGAGTGGGTTGAATGAAAAACATTAATTCATGTTTTTGGGATGGATTTAACCCTGATTTGTTGTGCTCGCCCTCTTTTTTTAGAGCCTTCTTTCCCCATTGTTTCTGATTTCGGTATAATTTTTTGGAACATAGCTTTGAAACAACCCCTATTATAACAACCGGAGACATCCAAGTCAGGAGAATAGCATCTGAGCAGCCAAATGATTCTGAAAAAGAAACCGGGTGTGACACAATATCGCATGAGACTCGCTTTGGCTGACATTGCGCTCTGTTTTAGCAGCTACAAACTGCCGCATTGCTTGGCAACGTTGGAGGACTGCTTTCGGCGCAATCGGCAGCCGCTGCACTTGTCGCCAACTCGTCGACACAGCCACCAACGCCTTCACCGTTGCTTCGGCTTCAGAGGAAACGAGCGCTGGAAGAGGACACATCGAATGGCAACGACAGGACGGCGGCAGCTCACACACAACTGCTGTCACTGGCCGCGGTATCCCTTTTATTTAGACAAGAGAGATTTTGGAAACAAACTCTTAAATGTTTTGGTTTATTTTTCTCTTTCTCTTTCCTTTTTTGGTTCTGAATTCTAAGCTTGCCACTAACGATTCTGGTACTAGATATGATTGCAGGGATAGACGGCACAAAATATTTGCCAGTGCTTGCTCAGAAACTCACCATTTTGCGTGCATTTTTCTTTTTTTTTTGTTAACTGGTCTCTCTCCCTGAATGCTGCTAGTACCAAAATAGTTTGTTTTTTCATGAAAATAGCAATGGAAAATTTGGAAAATGAGTCTCCAAGCATTGCTTGATGTGTATCGATGGAGTGTGTATTGTAAGCATGTAATTGATCGGGCTTAGGCAAATTTGCAATTTGTTTTGTGAAAGAAAAAAAGAAAAACAGATCAGAATAGTTGAAAGCACATAAAATTTATCTTCATAGAAAATTTTTTTGAAAGCAGATATCGTAAATCCTGTGATAAGAGGGCTCATATATGTACTGTCAATTTTGAGTTCAATTATCTCGGTTTCTGTGACAGATATCAAAAAGTAATCAACTGACAAAATTTTTCTGATATTATGATAAACAATTTATCAGTGGATAACTTTTTGATACCTTTGACAGAAACCGAGAAAATCGATCTCAAAGTTTACAGCTAGGGGGGCTTTTTTATTACAGGTTTATGGTAGTCACTGTACTACGGTTCTTAGCTGAAATCGAAATTTTATACAATTTCGAAATTATTTTTGTAGTAACTATTGTGAAAATTAAAAAAATTGTGATATAAGTCACGGAATGACATTTTGAAGAATAATTAAAGCGTTGCAACGCAGCTCTTTTCTGTTCTTGAATTTCGAGCTTAATTATCTCGGTTCCTATCAAAGATATCCAAACTTTGCCAACTGATAGAATGTTTGTCATAATTTTACCAACATTTTATCAGTTAACAAGTTTTCGATAGCTGTTCCGGAAATTGAGATAATTGAGCTCAAATTGTATGAGCTGGCGTTCGGTTACAAGGCAGTTCAAACCTCAAAAGTGAGCCAGATATATAAATTTTTTCTTCAGAGAAACTACAACGTTTGTAGTTTTAGCTAGATGTTAAAAAAAACAAATCATCCAATAGGAAGCTGCAAAATATTGATTGCTACATTTTTTTCTGTCCCTTGCATCTTTGCAATTTTATTTTTCCCTAACTTTAAGCTTCTCCATTATTTTTATCTGGGTTGTATTTTTAGAAAAATTTGGGAATCAATTTTCTAATCTCTTCACAATCATTTTTTCTAGGGTGCCGTCCCAGTGAAACGACCAGCTCTCGACAAGAACGGAGCCATGCTCTTCTCGCCAGCCGCTCCACAAACGCCCCAGTTCAATCCATATCTTCTGCAAACACTGCAAGGATATGTGCCAACTGTCTCTTGTGAGTACATGCAGCCACCACCGTTCTAGAAGACTCATCTGGATTACTCTTTTTTATCATACCTACAGTCATTTTGGAAACCGTACATAATGTTATTTGTCTAGCTTTAAAAACTCCTTCTACCGACTTTCATATTTTTTTTCTAGATCTCAATGTAACCCCATCACCACACAAATTTTAGTTTTCGAACACTCTAACTCAAAAAATTGGGCTAAGCAAGCTTCGGGGCTCTTTGACTCCTGTCCTATCCCATCCTGCACCCCCTATCTCTATCCTAACTGTCGTCATGGGAGATGATTGTATTTGTTTTCAGTCAGTGGTCAGCTACCGCCTCGCTACTAGAACCAATCAGTGTGCAGCTTCTTCCACACCGTCACCAAATGCAAAATCTGCTCACCGTTTCACCCCGTTTTTCATTTCCTATCTCTTATAATTTCCCTCTCTCTCTGTCTCTTTTTTTCACTTCTTCTATATCTTTCCTTTTCTGGTTTTGATTCTCTTTTCTCTCTTTCTCTAAATCTCTCGCTTCTCTCTGTTTCAATGTTCACAAAAATCACATCAAAATTTGTTCCAACTGTATGTAACACCCACGACAAGTTTCGAGTCCTAATCATTTCGCTTCAAAACTGACTGCTCCAGAGAAATTGTGTGTTTTGCTTGTCTCTCGCTTGGCCTTTTTTCTTTCCAAATGAGCTTCAAATTGTTTTCTTTGGCGGACTACACCATTAGGTTTTTGGTTTTTGTTCTAGAGAAAAAAGTCACAAAATTGTTAAGGGACGTATACCGTTTGGAGCCTTATTTTGTTGTGTTTTTTGTTATAATCGTCGCGCCCTGGTCATCTGAATGACGCTAAAAACTCGGAATACTGTATTGTAGTCAATATTCTATGGATTTACAAATTTTTCCTTCTTCTTTCTTTTGCCGGTTTCAACCATAACCCTTCCCCCAATTTTCATCGAATTTCAAACAAAAAATTTATCTTTTTTCAAAAGTTCATGACTAGATGATTTTCCCCGCTTAACCCGAAAATTCCCTATTCTTCTTGCCCGTCTCTAACGTTCCCAAAACTACAGTTTTATTTTATTCAATTTCATTTTTCGTCCCTCCCCACCTCCGCATCTCTGAGTCTACCCTTTTTTCCAACCTAGTCTGCGGATTTTGTGATTTTATCAAAATCTGCAACACCCAACACCCACTGAAATCTACTTTTTTGTTCTTCCCGGTAATCAGCGATAGATTAGAAAACGTCCTATTCCGTGTTGCAAAACCATTCATAATAAGTTTCGTGTGGATTTGAAATAATATGACTTTCCCCCCGATTGATTTCTTTTTGTTCTCCAAGAATTCCTCCCGACTCATTTAATAATTTTCCAATTGTCCTTGAAAATGTTTAATTGACCCTTTTCCCCCTTTCCCCCAAACTTCTCGTTCTCCATGTGTTATCACTTTTACTGGAACTTTAAAATTCCGACACTTGTCTCATTTCTCTTAAATCCCTTTTTTCTTTGAAAATCTCTATCCAGGCCCTGTGCAGTTTTGCAATAGGCTACCGGTTGGATTATACGACCCCCTCTTTTTTTCCATTTCCAGACAACACAAAACAATTGAATTTTCTTTGAATAAAATGTTTGAAAAATGATTTTCCTTGTGTTTTTGGTGATTGATGGATTTTCAGATTTTCAGGTGGACCATAAAAATTCTGAATTTATGAGATATGAAAAAAAACACGTTTTCAGGATGAATTAAGATATAAAAACTGGACATAAAACTGAATTCCGATAATTCGACTGGGACAAAAAAGCTTGGAAAAAGAAATGAAGAAATAAAAATTTTCCGTGTTTTGTGCATTTTCCAAAACTTTTAAAGCCGGATTTTTTTTGAGTTTTCAAAACAAAATTTCTCAAAAATGAATTCGAGTAATACCTGAATTAGGAGGAGCTCTTCAATAAATGGACTCCTCTAATAGAAGGGCACTCCGGGCTTGGAGCAATAGATGGGCTATGGTAATTCATATTGCTCTCTTAATCAAAATCAAACAATTATTAACAAAAAATCTCATGAATAGAATTATGCAAATTGAATTGCATTTTTATCTTTACCCTCTCTGTCCTCCCGAGTTATACTTTCTGACTCGCATTGTTAGAAGCCAACACATTAATTGATGAATTTTTGATGCGGTTATGTACTCCTCAGTGACAACACCAAGGCCGCACTTTCATTTTGTTGGCTCTTTTTACTTTTGGAATGATACATTGGTAGTACTATCTTCTTCTTATTATTATGGAAACAACTCTGCGGGTCTGTTCGTGTGTAGGTGGGTCTCAAAAGTCTCCTTGAATCACTGGAAAGGACTTGGGACCTTCATAGAGATGTGTAATATTCAATTATGGACCACCAAATGCTTCATGTCTATGGTGATTTTGGTTTTCTAACTAATCGGGATTCCGTAGGGTTGAGAATCGAAATTTTAACAACAGAAAAAAAAATAGTTGAAATGTGAAAAAAGTCTTTAATTCTAGCAGATTCTGGTATTCTGAGTATTTGATATTCTAAGATATATGATTCTAAGATATATGATTCTAAGATTCTGAGATTCTGAGATTCTAAGATTCTGAGATTCTGAGATTCTGAGATTCTGAGATTCTAAGATTCTGAGATTCTGAGATTCTGAGATTCTGAGATTCTGAGATTTTGAGATTCTGAGATTCTGAGATTCTGAGATTCTGAGATTCTGAGATTCTGAGATTCTGAGATTCTGAAATTCTAAGATTCTGAGATTCTGAGATTCTGAGATTCTGAGATTCTGAGATTCTGAGATTCTGAGATTCTGAGATTCTGAGATTCTGAGATTCTGAAATTCTAAGATTCTGAGATTCTGAGATTCTGAGATTTTGAGATTTTTAGATTCTGAGATTCTGAGATTCTGAGATTTTGAGATTCTGAGATTCTGAGATTCTGAGATTCTGAGATTTTGAGATTCTAAGATTCTGAGATTCTGAGATTCTAAGATTTTTGACAGAATTTTTCTTTGAAAATTACTAAAATTTTATAAAATTCTATAAAATTCAGCCGCGAAAATCCAACTGTTTCTAAATGTTGCGAAATTTTTTTGAAACCAACACTTTTGAAAATGACCTTTAAATTTCATTGACACTGATATTTACTTTTATACTTACGTCATCATCAAAAATCAAAACAACTTTTGATTCTAGAAAAATTCTTGGGCATGGGGCAAGAAAAGTCATGAGAAAAAACTGTAATTCAAAAATGGTCTCTGAAACAATTCATAAAATTTTTTAAAGATTTTCTGTACGAGTTTTTTCTAAAATGTCTTTTTTCCTGTAATACACTTGCGCTTGAGCTAAATTATCTGGGTTACTGGGGAAGATATCAAAAATCGGTTAATTGATAAAATGTTGGTGACATTACGTTGAACATGTATTCAGTTGACAAAGACTTGATATCTCTGATAGGAGCAAAGATAATTGAGCTTAAAATATAAGAGAGGGCGTTCTGCTAAGGGAATACGACAGTCGTTTTATTTTTATCACGATTCAATGCTTGCTAGTCGTTTACTATTTCCCAAGGCAACCTTAAACCTATAATTATGCAAACAAGTAAAAATCGACCCATTAAAACAAATCAACCCAATTTGTCACGCGATTCCTGGCAAACCTAGGAAATCCTTTCAAATAATGGGCTACAATGTTTGAAACACAAACCGTTTGCCACTTTTAGGAGAAAAAAGTGCAGCTGTACTAAAAAAAGGACAAAAAAGAAGAAACAATGAAGAACAGAAATGGGATGTATCTCTTTTGTGAGAGAGGGGGGAGGGGGTAGGGGTGTTGATTTTTTGTAATGATAATAAATGATTGCCATTCGCGATTTATGATTTTTCACAGCCTTTTGTGATGTCTTGATAGTTGTTAAGGTTCAATTATATCGTGTTTATTCAAAAAGGGGAAACAGTAGATTTTTGGATTTTTTTGAAGTTACGGTATGCATTTTTTTGACGATGGCTATGGGGCCAATTTCATTTAAAATATTGGAAGGCTACCGTAGCTCAGCGACGCTGTACCTTCAACACTGGGTCCACGAGTTTAACTTCTTGACAACCTCAAGCAACTGTTTATTTACTTTCCTTGTTTTCTCCTTTTTTCCCCTCCATCCTTCATCACTCGAGCTTCTCCAAAAACGGTATGGGTACCCTCGACAACCGTCCTTTCTTTTTACCTTGTATCTTCTTCATTTTTGGCTGCCGCTGCTGCACTTCCCCGTTCTTTTTATACTTTTCATCACCAATAATTTTGCGAAAAAGTAAAATTGTTGGTTGAAGAGAAGCAACCACACCTTCTCAGCTCTATATGTTGCTTCAAAAAGTCACGGTGCCCACCGCTTTCTTGTTGCAAAATATGTCCTTTTTCGGAGAACGGCAGAAACTATCCTCGAGATTGTTGATCACACTTTTAGCTGCCACGGGGCCAACCATTTCTCTTTTTGTTCTCTTTTTTTCCGTTCATGAACCAATAGGGGACACTGTTTTCTGCTATCTCTCATCTTTTTTGCCACATCAGTCGCTGATTGGAATGCAAACGGTTATCGTTTGGGCAATTAGGAGAGAATGGTTTCGGTGAAAAGTGACTATCATTCATTTTTTGAAAGGAATTTTTTAAGTGAAAGGAGAGAAGTGATAAGTTAGAAAGTTTAGTGTTCTTCGAGTGGGATGGCATTCCATGAGAAGATACAGTACCGACAAAAGGTCGTCATCTTTTGTACAGTACGACCGATTACTGAACTTCACTCTTTATCTCTCATTATTATCAGAAATTTTAAGATTTAAGCTTTTTCTACAGAAATATCGTCTAAATGATAGAAACTGTATTTTCGGATTCTATTCCACTTTTTTTTTAACTTTTAGTTTTTTTCAAAAACGACTTTATAAATTCGTCCCTTGTTCAGTTTTTTTCGAAGAATCAACAATGTGAAATTTTCTGAAACTTCACATCTAATTCTAAGAATTCTAAACAAACTAATAAATCTTAGCTTCATAAATTTTCGGAAACCTGATCAGAATTTTTTATGCTATGATCTTTAGACTCCCTCTTCCGACCAACGGCTAGTTGCTTTGTTGGCACAGATTAAAGTTGGTGGACCCAAAAATATATTCTCAAATTCTCGAAGAAGCTCAAGGAATTGAACGTAGAACCAGCGAAAATGCCGGACCGCAACTCTAAATTTTTTAGAAAATACAGTACTCTTTAAATAAATGCTCTTTTAATTTGAACTATTATCCAATTCATATTATCTTTAAGCTAATTTCGATACGGTTGATTTCGAATTTCCTTGTCATTTTTTCCAATTAAGATAACCGACTTAAAAACAAAGACATTCGATTTCGTGTCAACTGTAAAAGGGTTTTAAGTCATTATCCACAGTCATTATCCCATTATCCACATAAATAAAATATCCAAAAACTGTATTTTAAAATCGAATACTTAAAAACAGTTCCAGTACCCTCTCTTCTCATGTTTTCATGGTTTATTTGTTTTTCTCCCTTCTCAGTTTTCCCCAAAAGTTCAAAAACCGGTAAATTTGTAATTTGTCTAAAAGAGTTATGACTCCAATTCCAAACAAACTAACAAATTTTAATATCTTGTTAGCTTCATAAATCTCCTACCTTCTTCCCTTGTGTTACAATATCTATACCCTCTTACTTCGAAACATCGATTTTTTTTCTTTTTGTTGCCACATATCACAGCTTCTGCATTTGCATATCAATAGGCACAGAGACCGACCAACACAAAAAAGTATCATAACTAACAAAGGGATAGTTTCATCGAATTAATACTTGGCTCTTTGAATACAGTTCTTTTCAACTGTTCCTTTTTTCTTATCTTTCTTCTTCTCTATAGAACGCTAGACTTTTGATACTTCAGAGGAAATTAATTTTTTGAGTTTTCAGGTAGAACCTATCCTGTAATTTTCGAAGAACAGAACAACTTGCTCTTTTCCTAACCCCACAATTATGCAAAACTTAAGGAAACATTTTTATAACTTCCTCTCTTGTTAAGATTTTTTTCCCTCCCTTTCGTGGTGTACTACGTTTTTCTGTGCTTAAAAATAGCTTCACAAACTACTATCTTAATTTTCTATGCAGGTAATCTAGACACCAGCCAAACGAGAATGATGTTCCTAAGAGATATGGGAACACTTCGAGACATGTGAGTTCGATAAAAACAAAGAAGATTTAATTTTGAATTTCATATTCCAGGATAAATGCCTTGCCAGGAAGATTCAGCTTCCGACATAGAACACGGAATACTGTACAAAAACAGGCGGAAACATCAGACGATTCAGGATTCTCGTCTAGTAGTCAAATCAGCCTTCCAACGGCCCCCATCACAAAATTCCAGAAGGCTAGTTTCCTGTTTTTTACATTACCGTGAAATCTGTATTAGAAGGGGGGTTTCTGCGAAATTACAAAGTTTCAGAAATGTTTTTTCACCGAAAATATTCGAAAATCATGTTTTTTTCAAATTTTGGAGAGACCTTCTATTTTTCAAGCCCCTTTCGGGAGGCCCATCTGTTAGAGGGGTCTTCTAATACAAGTTTTAAGATACTTTCCAATCACGTGGGCCACCGGACCCATTTTTCAAGTAGTCCTTTCAAAAATTACCTAGCCATGAGTGGCCTTGGGGATACCGAGCGGTGCCGGGTCCTTTTATCTATCTTTTCCTGGTGCGACGACTTCTCCACTCGAGACTCGCGAAAGTCTGGAGAGGACACAGATTAATAGGATTCAAATACCATTTCGCCTTTCATTCGAATATTTTTTCTCATAGCCGCTCCTACCTAAAATAAGAAGCTTTAATGCGTCTTCTCTGTATTCCAAAGGTGAGTACTGTGAAAAGGGTCCAGGGATTTTCCAGATAAACGGTTTAGAAGGCATAGTGGTCAATTCTTGACTTTCATAGCTTGTTCGAAAGAACAGAAGTCAGGCTAGGCAAATTTAGGCTTGGTAAGTTAGATCAGGCTAGTTTAATTAGGCTCAGTACATTGGACTGGGCAATTAGAGGTCGAATACATTTATTATTTTCTTTTATACATTCCATTTTCCTTTTTTTTCACCATCAAGAGTCAATTTTTGTATGACTTTCTGTTGACTCATTCCCCGGATCCGCAGATATCGTCTAGTGGGTAACTGTAACAGTTGTTTGCGCCGTGTGTCTGTTCTTCGTGGCGGTGACCCACTCACTGGACTATGCCTTCTCCCGGATCCGCAGATATTTTCTAGTAGGGGTACTGTAACAGTTGTTAACGCCGTGTGTCTATTTTTCGTGGCGGGACCCACTCACTGGACTGTGTGCGCCGCATATATTCAAGATCCATGAGGAAATTTTGACTAGCTGCCTCTCATTTTCCCCGCCTGACTGTTCTTGTATTGTCTGCTAAGAAAGCTGATTTTTCTGCGGATCAATGAAGTTCTTGTGCGTTCCTGTGAGTTTGCGGAAAAAAAGAAATCACTGTAGATTACTGTAACCCCTGTAAATTACTGTAGCCTCTGAAAACGTCCGAGATCCTAGGCGCGTAGTGGGAGCCGCATCCTATCAAATAACAACTCATGTTCAAATTTATCTTATAGTCTACATTCCGAGAAATATTAATTCTATTTGGGGCAGTGGACTTAAGCGTTTTGGGCGTAACGGAACTCTTTGCTCCTCTTTCAGTCTAGATCTATGGTTTGTTCAAAAATCTGTTTATTCGAGCTTTTCTCCCGTTTTTAATACAACACCTCCACCCAAAATTGACTGTTAAATTTGGCAAGTGTTTCTAAAAGGTTTGAGGGTAACACTTGTTTGTTCTGTGTGCGGGAAGGATCCAACGACGAGATGCATTCGGATGACACATAGTTGCGAGGTCTATGCAAAATTTTTCCTTTTGTTTTTCTGTACCAGTTGTCTCTTCTTCTCTCTCGATTGACCGGTCATATTGACTATAAGCTGATTTTCTATTAAAAATGCCATCTATACCTTATCTAATGCCTTTTATTCCGAGTGTAAAGAAAAAAATTACTGTAGAATGTTTCATTTAGGGCGAAGCTTCTAAGCATTCATCTAGCTGACGTGGTTTTTGATGGATTTAAAGAGAAATCCCAAGATATGCTCTAGATAGTTCAATCAACTCTAATCACTAGCATATTTTAAAACTAACTAAGGTGTCGGATTAAGAGTTCATAATTTTATTTTTCAGTTCAAGCTCTCGTTTCGTCGCAAGAAGAATAAGAAAAAGAACAACGAAGCTTATGAGCAAACTGAGCCAGAGTGAGCTTTATAACCGCTTTGACCAAAAATATAACCAAATTTTAGACTTCTGAGTTACTCCGTGCTGACCGACGAAGAGCTTACTGCCGAGATCATCGAGCTCAAAACTCTTTCCGATGAACTGGGCGCACGTTCAAAAGATGGATATGGTCCAGTTTTCAATATTGCCACCAAAGAGATTGAGAAGAGACTCACCCCACAGATTGTTGCCCTGATGCTGGAAAAGTTCTTCGCGCCCAGTTTCCGTTTACCATCGGTAAGAAAATTTTCGATGAAGCCAGAAACTTGTATGAAAATTTCTAGGGAATCAACAATCCGTCCAAAGAGTGCTTTGCCATCGCCACGATGCAAGCTCTCATTGCTTGCCCGCCCTTCATTGATTTTGTAAAGAATGGATTGAGCTATTTGGGAAATGAGAAACCCTCTGACCGCTTTCTCAAAATCCACCATGCAGTTCGTTCTTTGGTGGCTAAAATTCAGGCCGGGTGGTCGTTGATCTACTGCACCGAACTATTAGATCTTCTCGGATTCGCAAGAAAGACGGAAGAGTGTGCCGAGTCTTTCTATAGGTAAGTGTATTCTAGGAAAGCTAAAGTTAATGTTTTTAATTTTTCAGGGCATTGTATGACGCATATCTCTACAAAGCGTTCGCCAGCCCCAAGGAGATCAAGCACTGGAAATGCCTTCACTGCGGTCATGTGAAAGTGATGGAAGACAATGTAAGCTATTCAGCCAACTGATGAATTTGGAACTGTATGATTTTAGCATGCTCGTCTTCAGTTGGCTCCAATCAAAGGAAAAGATGCCACAACCAACATCAAGATGATGGTGCAATACAAACGTGGACAAGAAAAATTGGAGTTGCGCTGTACCCAATGCGTATGTTCCAAAGAAATAGTTTTCAATTTTCATTTCTCCGTTTTTCAGGATCAGATGAGAGTGGGAACCCTATTCACGACCTGTGTGCTTTCCAACATCATGATGATCTCCGCTGACCTACTGCGAAAAACCACCCTCTTCGCTGACTTCGAGGACACGGTGGACATGAGATATTTGGAGGAAACCCCAGGAACCAGTGAGTGGATCAGAGGAGGAGTTGTGCACTTCGAAGTGACCCGGCTCACCAAAGGGCACTATGTGGCTGCGATCAACAAAGGAAGAGTAAGTTTTTTAATGCCGTCTTTAAAGTTCTCCCTAATATGGGTCTTCTGTGCTCAGAGAGCAGCCCAAAGTGACGCCCGGATTCCCAAGATTTCCAATTTGGCGCAGTTTGAACCTGTGCGACAGTACATCCCATCGCGTCGAGACCCGCTACCATTTTTGAAGTTTCTACCGTGCCCAATTATAAATCATGGGAATCCTGGCTTCACTTGGACTGCTATCTGGGACCAGAAATCTCAGATTTGGGGAACTTTGGAAGCAATAAAATAGAAAATCGTTTCTAAAAAGTATATTTTTCAGCAACTGTACTTGATGAACGACGGAAAATCGGGCAGCCTTGTCCGGGATCTCAAAGTGGTGTCAGATGGGCATGGGGATCCTCGATTCGCCATTTATTGGCGCAAAAACTGGGAGACATGGAATAATGGAGCCGGATTGAACGAGGGATTCGAGGATGCTTCAGAATAGGCGCAAAAATGAATTTCGCTATCGACTTGCTGTACATATAAATGCCACTGCCTTCTATCACTGTACTTTCTTCATTTTCCCTCCAAGCAATCCTCAATTTCCCTCATTTCTGTACTTTGTCACACACGCTCTTCTTCTCATTTACAGAAAAAACAGTATTCCTAGGCCCATTTTCAAACCACACCACCCCCATCCCACTCCGTTCTCCTCATTTTTAAAACAAAATTGTCCTTTTAGGCACATTCTCATCCTTCCTCCCATGCTTTTTTCATTCAATCGGTTGTATTTTTATCGGTATTCCCAAAATGGGTATTCCAGAAATCATCATTCAATTCCTGGTTCTCTTTTTTATGCAACTCGGTCCACCCTCCTTACTTTCCTGTCTTTTGGTGACTTCCCCCAAAAAGGTACATCATCTAGGTATAGAGGACCAAACCGTTATTATTGTCTTATAGAAATTCCATTTTCATCCAATAAATGTCAATTTCCGTATGAGACTCTTCTGACTTATTTCCCAGATCATTGTGACTCATTCCCCGGATCCGCAGATATTCTCTAGTGGGGTACTGTAACAGTTGTTTGCGCCGTGTGTCTGTTTTTCGTGGCGTGACTCAATCACTGGACTATGCGCCTCGCATATATTCAAGACCCATGATTCTCATTTTCCCTCATTTTCCCTCATTTTCCCTCCTTACTGTTTGTGTATCGCCCTCTGATATAGCCAATTTTTTGGCTGAGATGAGGAAAAAAAATACTGTAGACTACTGTAACACCTGTAGATTACAGTAGACTTTGAGAATGTCGGAGTATTTGGGAGCTTGAGTTTAAGGTTTTTCGTTTGTCTCTTATCTAACTTCAAAAATCATAATTCAACCCTAAAAAAATCCATCGCATTGTTTTACGTTCCATTTTTTAATGATTGGAAAATAGTTGTAATCTTTCAACTCATTCCCCAAACACTGCTCATTTTTCTGTACTTTGTCACACACTCCGTTCTCCTCATTTTTAAAACAAAATTGTCTTTTTAGGCACACTCTCATCCCTCCTCCCATGCTTTTCTTTTTCAATCGGTTGTAATTTTATCGGTATTCCCAAAAATGGGTATTCCAAAAGTCATCAAATTATTTTTCGGTTCTCTTTTCTTTTGTAACTTGGTCCCCCCATATTCCACACTTTCCCGCCAAAAAAACCCCATCAAACTTTTTGCTCCTTATTTTTCTCCAATTGTAAATAAAACACAGTAGTCTGCTTATAATAAATATGCAATTTAAAACTTTCTGATTTCCTCACTGATTTCACACCCCGGACATACATATACACTTGGCGCCTCTGATATGAGAAGGTGCTTCGAAATTGCTCTCCCTCGCCATTCCAATTTCAATAATTTTGGTCTCCCACCTCATTTCTCCTTCACATTCTCATCCTGCCTCTCAGATTTTTGCGGCTACGCGGTGGTTTTTTTTCTTCGTCATCTAGTTGCACTCCATCACCGTTCTCTTTTGACACAACCAATAAAATGAGTAATTGGTGAGGAAGAGAGAGAGAGAGAGCCGCGGCTTTTTGGGTCATCTCCACAGCGAGTCTTGATGTATCTTGGGTGGTGGACACACACATTGCATGCTTGGGCACGGTCCATATAGTCGGACTCATTGATGTTAACATTTATCTGTTTTTTATCTTCTCCACACCCTCTTCACGCTCCTCTCTCTCCTTTAATGATCATTAAAACTTGCATCAGCTCTGTCTTAGCAATCTATGCTCTTATTTTTTTCAATCGATTGAAGGTCCTGTAAGGTCTCCTGCTCTCTGAAATTCTTTCAAAAAATAATACTCTATTTCCTTTCTTTATAAGGTCCTGGATATACTTCTTCTTTGAATAATGGGAAAACGTTCAATCTCGGAATAGGAGGGAAGGAAAATGGGACGAGACGGAAATGCCTTCTCGCTTTTTTTTTGTTTCTTCTCGTCATTTATTTTTATTTTCGAAATGAGCTGTCCGATCTTCAATTTTTGGTTGATGGAAATGAGTTTTGGGAACTGAGATTTTTCAGAGCGCGTAATTTCTTGGGAATGGCAAAAAAGTGCATACTGTAAATGCTTAAATATAAGTCCACTTGGAGCTCAATTATCTCAGTTCTTGTGAAAGATATGAAAAATCTGTCAAATGATAAAATATTGGTGATATGAAGGTAAACAATTTTTCAGTTGACAACTTTTTATATCTTTTCAAGAAACCGAGATAATTGAGCTCGAACTTGACAGTGTTTGGGCCCTTCTGTTGCAGGTTCTACTCTGGAACATGATGCTAGGTAAATTAAAAGGTGGAAACGTATATTATGGTCTCCTCAACATTCCAGTTTCCTTTTTTTTTCTTCCATCAAAAGTCAGTTTTCTCATCAAATGCTGGTGACTCATTCCCCGGATCCGCAGATATTCTCTAGTGGGTGTACTGTAAGAGTTGTTTGCGCCGTGTGGACTAGACGCATATATTCGAGACCCATGCGGAAAGGCAAGATCTTTGTTGTTGTCTTTTCAACATTCCATGTTTCATTCTATTAAGAGTAAGTTTTTGTTCCACTTTCTTCTGGCTCATTTCCCTGTAAGAAACTCTCATTTTCCCTAATTTTCCCGCCTGACTATTCGTGTATTGTCTGCTGATATAGCCCCAATTTCTCTGCGAGTTTGGGGAGAAAAAGAGATGACTGTAGATTACTGTAACCTTTGCGGATATCGAAGTTCTAAGAAGATTGGTGTCCTAACTGCATCCTGTAGGGTTTCCGTTCAAGTTCTGCTTTTCATCTAGTCTGAATTGCTTAAAGATGATTGCTAAGGAGCCTATCAAAGTTTGGTGAAAGGGGACGCTCATGAGCACTGGGCTCAAACTCAGACATCCGAACTTAGGTATCTGCTAAACATTTTTTTCAAATAGATGTATAAATTGTGTAGGTCAATTAGAGGGTTGGAACGTATATTATGGTCTCCTCAACATTCCATTTTCCTTTTTCTTTCCTCCACCAAAATTCAATTTTGAATGACACCCTTCTGACTCATTCCCTAATCCTGCAGAAATTTCCTAAAGGATACTGTAAGAGTTGTTTAAGCCGTGTGTCTGTTTTTCGTGCCGTGACCCATTCACTGGACTGTGTGCGTCGCATATATTCAAGACCCATGTGAACATTTTGACTGTCTTAATCTCATTTTCCCTCTTTTTCCAGCCTGACTATTCGTGTATTGTCTGTTGATATAGCCTGATTTCTCTGCGTATCAATCCGTTTTCTGTGTGTTCCTGTGATTTTGGGGAAAAAAGATTACTGTAGATTACTGTATCCCCTTCAGATCACTGTAGCCTCTGAGAATATTGAAGTTTTTGAGAGTTAGTTATTGTAACCGCGTCCTGTCGAGTTCCTCTTCAGATTACCCATTTTTTAGTCTACATTTCTAGTTTTTTTAAACGTTCTTTACCACTCGGTTCAAACTTATCTAATTGATGAACTCCCTTTTCGAATGGACGAATTGGAATGGATGAATTGTAAAGTTACGGGTCTCCCTCCAAGCCCAGGGCCCAGGTGCTCAAAAATGTCGATTAAAACAAAAAAACGGATATAATTTTTTATAACAAATCGTTTTTGTATGAATCCATCGGGCGGACTCGGTCCAGGCCTCTAAAGAATTGGAAAAATGTCCGGTCTGGTCCGGCCCGTTACAAGTATTGTGCGTAAAAATCGTTTCAATTTAACTGCTCCTCCCATTTATAACCTCTACCCAAAATTGACTTTCAAGTTTGACAAGTGTTTCTAGAAGATTTGAGGGTAACACTTGTTTGTCCCGTGTGCGGGAAGGATTCAACGACAAGATGCATAGGATAACGCATAGTTGTGAGGTCTATGCGAAATTTTCTTTTTGTTTTTTTTGCTTTCTCTGCGTATCACTGCCTTTCTTGTGTGTTCCTGTGAGTTTGGGGAGAAAAAATTACTGTAGATTACTGTAGCACCTATTGGTTACTGTAGCCTCTGAGAATGTTGGATGCTTATAATACACGTATTGGGTTGCGTGCTCGTTGAGCTCAGTTATCTGGGTGTTTGTAAGAAATATGAAAAATCTGTCAACTGATAAAATATTTATCATAATATACTTAATATTTTATCAGTTGACAGATTTTTGATATTTTCCACAGGAACGGAGATAATTAAATTTAACGTTTACGGCTTAGGTGCGCTTCTATTTGAGGAAATACGATTAAATATATATGCATTGCTAGGTAGTATGTGACTAAGTACCTTATTGTTTCTTGTTACTAAACTTGTCCTATAGCTAGCTATCTAAATCTTACAATAGTCCATTTGTGTCTCAATTTGTATCTTTCTCCATTTGTGCATCTGGCCCATTCGTTTTGAAAAAACAATTCTTTGACAGGTGCATCCCTCAAATGTCACACATTTCCTTTTTTCCTATTCTAAAATCTACAAAGAAAGAGAACGAAGCAATTTTACTGGTTTTTAGAGAGAAGATTCATACTTTATAAATAGATTTTGGTCCTTGTGCTTTGTCCTAAAAACTAAGACAACGTCAAAAACTTTAGTGCCTACTTTTTATTGAGATTTTTATGATTTTCCAATTTTTCGTTTTCTTTTTGAATTCTCTTCTCAACTACCTTTTTTGGTGAAATCCGAAGAATTTGTTGAACACATTTTTTGAGTTTTGGCTTTTCTCTATACAAGCATATTTGTAGTTTTCTGACAAGATTGGATTTCTAGACATTGAAATTTTCGTAGGATTACTAAGGATTTTATAGTTGCTAGGATTTTATAGTATTCTTAAGGATTTTATAGTTGCTGCACTTTTTTCGACTTGCACTTATACCGAAAATCAATTCTTTACGTTTCAGATAATTGAAAATCCCTTTTATTGAGTGAATAATGTCATTGCTTGCGAGATTCAGAGCATTTCTGTAAGTTTTAGTCACGTACTATAGCTTTTTATGGCGGTACTTTGTAGCAGAAGACTCCGATTGCGAAGACGGCGTCGTCAAGAGGAGCAGAGATTGTCGGCCGACTCTGGAATCGGTTCGGCAGAGCCAAGTGGATCTGGACCGCAAAGAGTGAGTTTGAAGCTTTGAAATTTTATCAGCTTTCGACATTTTAGTGCTCAGAAACTGAAAAATACCTATTACGTTGCCAACGGATACTTCCATTTTGAGCGCATTCATCTCAGATCCTTTGAAAGCTAACAAAAAATGGTCAACTGATAAATTGTTTTTCATAATATTACCTCCATTCTAACGGTTGGCAAGATTTTGATACCTTTCACAGAAATCGAGTTAATTGAGCTCAAAGTTCGAGTACAAGGTGATGTTCTAATTGAGAATATTCGACGAAATTCGACTTTATTTTACACTCCTGAAATAAGCCAAATTTGTATTTTTCTAGAGATCCATCAGTGAAACCCATGCGGATATTCAAGCCATTCTGCGTACACTTCACGGAGGCTTGCCGGCGTATCAGGGTGGATACGGTGAGTATCACATGCAACTGGAGGACTACGTCGGAACACACTTCACATCAGAACTCATTTCTGAGATTCTGCAAAACTTCGAGGTTACAATACTGGACATTCCAACGGTAAATCCATATGGGTTGAAAATCTATATAAACTATTTCCAGCCCATGATGAATCCAAACATGGAATGTTTCTGCATTTCATCGCTACAAGTGCTCTTCGCGTGTCCACCATTCGTCGAGTTCGTCAGAACAAATGGGCTGGACACTGTTGTCCAAAATGAAAATGATCCAGTCATTCGTCAAGCTCAAATTGATCGAGCCGTGAAATCGATTTTTGCACAGTACTTGGTCGGATCCCCCATCATTCACTGCACGCCGCTTCTTCATCTTGTTACCAACGTGAATGAACAGGATGCTGAGGAGTTCTTCCAGTGAGTATAGTTTCAAAACATTCCTAATCTTAAAGGAATTTTATTTCTAAAAACAAGATTTAATGCTGTCTACAGTACCTGATAAAAACTATATGATGTATTAACTTTGCAGTCTTGGAAAGAAAATCATTCAAAACGCTTGAAAATTCCAGAGCACACTGAACCAAATCATAGCTTAATTTTTGTAATTTACGATTCTTAGTACGAATCGATCAAAGCGAGCTTTGGGTTTATGAGTGGCAGACTCTCATTTTAGTGCTAATTTTTACATCTGATTTCCAGAACACTTCATGGCTTATACTGCTCGGAGAGCTTGCCACTGCCGAAGCAGATAACTCTATGGACTTGCGATTCATGCAACTCCGTCACTATCTCGGATCCGGAGGTATCACACAATTTTCAATCAGTCTCAATTTTTCTTTTTTTTTTCATTACAGCCGTCCATCTTCAACCTTCCAACGCGACTCCCTGGCCAGGACCGTACGAATATGATGAATCTGGTTTTCCATAAGACCGGATTTGAAACAGAAAAAAGGATCTGCAAGTTCTGTGTAAGAATATCGCAATCTTAACTGAAATATACGAAAACATGTTGCAGAAAGACTTCAGTGATGGTTTCGTCCACACAAAGTATTGTTTTTCCAATATTCTTCGTGTCTACGGTCATACGGATGGAAGCCATGCGGAGTTTGAAGAAGTAGTGGACTTGACGGAGCTCGACAACACTGGAGAGCCGAGCATGTGGCAGCTGGCCGGTACTGTTTACTACAGGAGTTTCGGAAATGCTAGCTCAGACAACAGGCGCTCCTGCGACGGACATTATACAGCCGTCGTCCATCACAAAAATGTAAGATACTTTGAATTTTTATTAAAAATAATATTGACATTGAGTATCACCATTGAAACATTTCTTGCCAAATTTTTTCCTAAAAGCAACAACATTTTCAGCGCCGGGTTCTCATGGACGATGGAAAAAGACCAATGGTAGTTCCCGCCGACTCTGATGTCCCATATTTTTACGGGGAGCCATATTATGCTGTGTATTATAAAATGAACTGGATGGAAAGTCAAGGAGGAGGCCAGAATCAATAAGCTGCTATAGAATCGATTTTTTCAAATTTTCTTTCAACATATCGTGTAAATTTCATCCCGTTTCACTTTCGAGAATTAGTTTGAACCACACCTAAACTTTGAATCCATTCTCATAAACGATATACCTCACTTGAACTGATCCCAAACGGATCCCAAACGGATTACTTACATTTGCCTATTGTATGGATCACTTCTTAATCAAGATTTTCTCTATTTCCCGTGAAACCCATTTCTCGATTTCATACTTTCATCCCGATTTCATTTCCCCTTGATCCCGTTAATTCTAAAATTCGATTACTAAGCTGATCTGATTTCAATTGTACGGATTTACGAAACTAAAAATTGTACGGAACTGAAAATAGCATCATTCATAAATTGATCCGATCATAAAATTTTATAAAACAAGAAAGAATCAAGCAGGTGCAGGTGGTCGGTATGCTGGGTTCTTGACAACCACTCCTTGTCTGAGGATGATTTCTGGTGGTCCTGAAATTTGGTAGAATAGCACATTGTTGTAAAAAAAGAAGAGAGAGGAGGTGAGGTCACGGGACTAAAGGCAAAAAATACCGTAGACAACAACTTCTTCTTGCAGTTCCTCTTCTAACTTTTTTGAACTCTCCAATCATGTCATAGAGTTAGTTTCATAAAGTTTCATAGAACCATGAGAGAATAATACATGTTTAGGCTACGGTAGTCCTCCATCGGAAAATTTTCAAATCGTTTTGAATAACTCTCACCTTCTTGTTGAACTGGTACTCCATCCACTATTAGATCGTAGCGTATGTAACGAAACGAAAATTCAAGTGGTGTTCGGATTGCTTGTACATACAGTATTCCAGGGTAGAGTGGATCTGTCACCGACTGTTGAGGCGTGGTCATTACTTCCTGAATCGAAATACCTGAAAAATCAAAATCCATCAGAGAACGTTATGGAGATGCAAAAAATGAAAATGAAATGATAGAAAAGGAGCGGCATTCGTTATCAGACTAAGTAGTATACGGAATGTATGAAGAGAGATAAGCACGGAGGCTGGAAAAAAGTGTAAGAGAATTGTTCCAGGAGTGGAGGTGTATAAAGTGAAACTGAAATGAAAGAATCGGATTTGATGAATATCACGGAATTATTTATGTTCAGTTCTAATTGAATTATTTATGTACAGGGCTATGTCGATAGTTCCGCCAAACTCCATCATGTTTAGGACTAAACAATGTCTGAAATGTCGAAATTAGCTTCGAGATAAGAGTTGTGCATTTCAATTTTTCTGGTTTCGTACAGAATATGTGTCAATTATGATCTACTAGCAGTCTACCACTTTTCCAGGGCCCCAATTAATTTCTGCTTTTTCAAAAAGTTCAGCATATCTTTTCACTTTTTTTTCTTGACCGTAAGAAACTTTACTTGCCACATTACGATTTTTCTGTTCTTGGTGAATTGATAATTTCTCAATTTGTGACAGTTTGACGGTTTTATTGCCATTTTCCAAGCCGACTGTTGTTCATTATCTCTTTGTCTTCTCTTATCATTAATTTTTCCTTCCATTTGTCTATTCACAATACCTTGTGATGTTAATCAATTTATTTTTATCATTAAATAAGAAAAATGGGACCATTTTTACAATCATGATTTTCGGTGCATAAGGAAGGGTGAAGTATAACTTATTGACCAAATGTCTTGGCTTGGAAGGTGCGAGAAGAGGTCAAAGCAAAGTGTCTCGCTGGTCCTTGTTCGGAGAACTCAGACTCTCCATCGATGTTAGACGAGAATTCTGGAGTCGATTGTTCATTGAGCTTCTGCCAGAAGCAAGCCTTCATGTTCTCGAATCTGTCGTAGCAAGCCAAGTAGGACAAATCGAGTTGGGTGACGTTTCCAGGACGTTGGTCGCAGAATGTGAAGCACTGAAAGAAATAAATTACAGTAGAAAAAATTAAAAAGATTAGGTACCTTGTTTCCAGCCAGAGTTGTTCCAACTGCATTTCTGACACAGCAATCGGTATGGTCTTGTCCTTGAGCAGCACAGTATTGGATGTCAGCAGCGGCTTGCATTGGACAGTAGTCCTGTTTGAAGTACATAGCTTGGAGAGCAGTCTTGGTATAGGTACGGAAGGAGCATTTTGAGAGACAGGCATCTGGAAGGTTTCTCTCTTCACAGCATCTCATGAATTTCTCGTCTGGGCTCATGGTGCGCTGAAAGAAGCTAGGATTAGAAATTTGCAGTTTTGGAAGCTTTTATACCTCAGCCTTGAAAGAAAGAGTCTTAGAACCTCTTGCCTTTGCACTGAAGCATCCATATCTTCCACAAGAATATCCTCCTCCACATCCACCGGAGCATACTGGAGGTGGTGGTGGAGCACATCCTCCACCACAGATACCCGATGCGAAACAAGCATCAGTGACAGCCAGAATAGCGAAAAACCCGAGAACCACTAAAGTAGTTTGCATTTTGAGAAAAGTAAGAGATTTGAATTTTGTCAATGCTTCTCAAGTAGTTTTTATAGTTTTTTTCGAAATGCATTCACAAAGAAGACCTGTTGATGAGTCAACCACAAAAGGTGGTGGTGTTACGCAAGAATAATAGACATTCCAAACACAGTAAGCTGCTTTACAGCAGTGTGTGGTTTTTTTTTCGAAGAAAGTGAAGACAAAAAGTAAGATGAAGTAAGAAAGACAAATAGCGCAAGCTTGGTTCGATGAAGACAAAAACGACACCAATTATTTGGCTTTTTTGCGCGATTTGGAACAATGCAACTAGCCGATTTTCCTTTGCCGATCATCTTGATCATCGGAAATAGAACCTCAAGAAAAAAAACGACTAGGGAAGCACGATTATTGAACTTTGGAACAGCTTAAGCTGCTTTATGCTTTTTTTCTCTTGAAGCTTTTTTATATTCAAATTTCTCAATTCCTGGATTTTCTACTTTCTAAAATTCGGAATTTCAGATTTTCAAATTTTTTCGAATTTTTCCAAAATTTCAGAGATCCTGAAATTTGAATTTCGAGATCCTGGAATCTCAGAATTTCATAAATTCAAAGTTTTGAAATTTAGAATTGCAGAATAATAATTTCGAATTTCGCAAAACACTGAGTTCCAGAATTCTTAACTTCCGAATCGTCAAATTTTTGATTTTTCGATAGAAAATTTTTTTGGAAATAAATCATTGAAAAATATAAGCTCACCCTCTACTTGAAGCCCATCCTGAGAAAGAGATTGAAAAATTGAAGCCCATGGACTTATATTATAGGAATTACGGTAACTGAAAAACTAAGAATGTTCAAAAAATTCTGTAAATGCAAAGTTCTGTTTCATAAGCTCCAAAAATTTCAAAGTGATTGAACACTTGACAGCCGAGCTCTAGGCTCTTGAAAATGGTAAAAATGACCGAAAATTGACCAAAAATAAGTTTTCGTGTACTTCAATAACCGGTACTGTGCCTGCTTCTTTCGAAACACGCAAGTTAAAAATTCTCAAAATGAGAAATAAGTTTAATATTCATTCGTAAGTAAAACTGGCCAGTTCAAAATTGGTATATGAAAAGATTTTCAGATGGGCACAAAAATGACAAAATTACAGAGAAGAAGGCATGGGATGAACAAGTTAGGAGAAGAAACACTGAACGATGTGATTCAAAAATTTGTTGACTCAAAACGCAAGAATCACAGAAAAACTTTTTTTTTTAATTTCGAAAAAAAATCTGTATTAATTTTGATTGAGAGTTTTGCAAAAGCTCTTAAGAGAAGAAATATGAAAAAAACGTAAGTGAAAAATGCGCGTAAACTGGTTTCTACAAAGCACCAAAAGGAGAAATTGATTTAATGTTAATTATTGATTTTTGATTTTCCAAATATCAATTATTTTTATGGGCCGGTGTTCCGGAATGAGGGATCCGTGGCTTCTGCCAATATTGATCGAGGATCGCAAATCCATCAATGGTAGCTGACAAGTGTTTAGTGGCAATTTGAGAGAAGTTTTTGGCACCAGAATCATATTTAAACATCATATTCATCATTGCTTCGGTACACTTTGGCGGTCCTTGACCCGAAATTTTGCAAGCAGTGTCAGAGACCTGAAATATCGTAAATGCTGAGAAAACCTTTCTTGGTTTGCCAAGATTCACCTCGTCCCAAGTATACAGCCCTCGGTATTGACACTTTTGATCACGGAACAAGATGAGGAAATGTTTGGAGCTGGATGATGCCATTTGAGCAATCGTCTGTAAGTCATTGTTTGTATTTTTAAGATTTACGGTCTATTTCTTGAAATTGCACTTTTCAAAAAGTTTTGAGAAAAGTCCAACGTTGTATGGTCAGCTGTCATCAATTTTTTTTTGTATGTCTCAAATAAGATTGACCATATAGCTCATTTTATTTCGTCAAGACACTGAACACGTCGAATTTCGGTGAGTTTTTTTTTCAAATTTGTAATTTACCGCACCAAAATCGTAATTATTTAAATTATGAATAATCAACTGATTGCGTTTTTACCGCAATTCAAACATTTAGGCCTGTTATCTAATTAGCATTTACCGAATTTTCTCTAATAGAAGCAAACCCGAACCGTCAACTTTGAGCTTAATTATCTCTACACTTGTGAAAGATATCGAAAATTTGTCAACTGATGAGTCATATATCATAATCTCACTAATATGTCGTTAGTTAACAAAACTTTAATATCTCTTACAGGAGTTGAGATAATTGATCTCAAAGTTGAGGGTTGGGACAGGCTTCTATAAGAGGAATACGGTAATTCTTTCAATAATCATCGTTGCCCGCTTTGGCTTGTATCTGGCCCTCTACGAAGCGTTCTAGGCTTCATTTCTTGTCCAAAATGACAATTCATATCTTTTCAATTCGAACATCTTACCGTTTGACGAGTAGCATTGTTGACCGCACCGGGAAAGACACTGAATTGCAGCGCATTATTGATTAATCCTCGATTCGACTTGGTCACAGTTTTGGCGAATAGTTTGTGAGCTGAAATGTGAGTTTGGTCGTTAGCGAACGTTGTCGGTGAAGGGACGAAAACACTGATTTGTTTTTTTGGCGGCCCGTAAATTGAGTTTTCGAAAAGGGGCTTGTCGCCGATCACAGCAACTTTTTGATGCTCAACAATTCATTTTCTAACTTTTATACATTCAATAAAGGCCAAGCCTACATGATCCCAGTACGCCAAGGACCAATCTACTTGATTCCTCAATTTTACGACCGTCTTGCTTACCCCACCAAACAACAAAAATACTCACTTGGCTCCGCCAGACTGCTCACTGAAACCCTTTGCTCCACCGACGACTGTCCCCGCATTCTAGGAGTATTCTGTCTTGACTCGGTGACCTCACTCATTTGAGATTTTGTCCTAATGAATGGCGGTTGTGAGTGTCCCCGTCCTGTAGACCTCGCTGACAATTCGGCTCCCAACTCTTTCTCCAACTTCTTTCTCTTGTACTCTTCCAGAATTTTTTGTCTGAAATTATTTTTTTTTGTCTCATCCGCTGAGTTATTCTCCTACCGTTGTTGTTCCTTTTCCACTTTCTTCCTTAAAGCCAACTCCTTCTTCTCATTCTCCACTTGTCTTCTCTCGGCATTCCTCTGCTCGGCTAAATCAACTTTTGTTTCAATTTCCTCTTTTCGTTTCATTGTTTTTGCGATGAGCGCTGCTTTCTTGGCAATGCGTCGTTCTGCGGCCTGGAAATCCCACAATTTTCACAAATGTTGACAGATTTCAATAAGTAAAACATACAATCTTTTCCATATTCTCCCCTGTCAACTCATCGTCGCCGAACGTGCGACCAGGGGTATCTGTAGGACTGTCATCAGATTTTCGGCCAGTGGAGAGATCATCACGATCACTATGTCTACTGTAGTTACGTCCTGGAGCCAAATTTTCCGAGTGATTGTCTAGCATCAGCTCGGGGAATCGTCTAGCTGCTTCTTCGGGTTGTGTAGTAGTCTGACATGATTCAATGATACACATAGTCTTATAAATTATGTAAATCTACCTCATCAGTGATATGTGGCACTGATTCCTTGCTATTCACCAGGTCAAGCTCATTCTTAATGAACGTCTCGTTCTGCCAAGTTCTCCTAGACGGGATTGATCTTGCTGGCATCTCTTGTTTGTAAGTCATTCCCCAATTTGTCAAATTTCGATTGATTTCAAGTGGTGGATCCGCTTGTGTGGCCTGAAAAATGAAAATTGACTCTCTAGACTACTGAATCTCAAGTTTAAGGCTTAAACTCACATCATCACTCTTGGAATGCAGATGGAAGGCGTTGTGATTTGGCGGGAGCATCTGCTGCTGCGCTTGTTGTTGTTGAGGCATTGGTGGTTGTTGTTGCATCGGCATCTCCATGTCTAACGGTTTATTCGCCGTTTGAATATAGCCCATCTGCGCTGGTGATCCGTCCAAATTGTAGCCTGGTTGATTGGTGGCAGCCATCCCGTTGAAACCCATTCCAGCTTGCTGCATCTGAAAATAGCAAATAAAGGGTTGCCTTCAAATCTCTCGTGACATGAAAATGAGCGCTTTTCAGTTTGCTACGCTCGAAAAATTAACTAAAATAACGCTAAATATCCACTAACACAGATTCAGTCTTTTTCAGTAAACTGAGCGTAAATAAAGCGCAACAAGAATCTTTATACGATGTTTTTGAAGTTATATTGTGTGAAGAAATTGAGTTACGCTTAGAAATCGCATTGAATGCCCTTGTGTTGATTCACGAACTCCCATTCCGCAACATAATCAGCTAAAGGGAACTAACTTTTGTAATATCAGTAAGATATTCTGAAATTTACAGTTTCGGGAAAATCGCAATTATTAACATTTCCAAAATCGAATTTTTGATGAAATTGTTCATTCTGAATGATAGAAAATCACAAAATTGAGATAAAATGTTTGATATACCGTAACAGCTGTTACAGAGAGGCTCCTTGCGGTAGAACGACTCTAAGGCAGACTTCCAAGTATAAATTTCTGTCTACACGGATTTCAGAAAGTTTGAAAATTAAATTAAGATTGACTTGACCCTTGAAAAAACACTAAAAATGATTGTGAGTGCTTGAGCGATGAAAATGCGCTGAAGACGCGCCAAAGGCGCCCCAGCTAAGCTAGTTACTGAAAACCTACCGGTGGATATCCTTGTTGAACTGAAATAGGCTGCATATGATGTGGAATAAAGTATCCCTCTGGTGTATAAGCTCCAACTGGCTGAACCGGCATCTGTCCTTGTTGCATCTGCATTTGCTGCTGCTGATAATCACCAGGATACATCGATTGAACCATATAACCAGCATGATTGATCATTCCGTTGCTCAAACTGTTTCGCAACTGAAAAACTAATAAATATATAGAGTTTTTAAAGCTTTGGTACTAACCTGAGATGGGCTCGCATAGTTACCCTGAGCTTGTGCTTGCTGCTGTTGTTGTAATTGCTGCTGCATGTAGTAGTCGTGTGGCGTTTGAGGGTGTTGGATGTAGGACTGTGTCATTTGTGCAGCTGCGTTCATGGGAAGTGTCATGTAGTTGGCTGGGTATGGTTGACCGGCGGCTGAAATGTTTATTTTGTCTCTAGTGGGGGAAAAATTAGATTGATAGGAAGCAAACTGTGATATTTCCTAGAATGATTGAAAGTGAATTCCAGAAGCTTCTTCCAAAAAACCTCCATTATCGCTCCATTGGCTTGTTTATTTTTTTAATGATTCCAAACAGTTTTAAGACGCTTCTAATATTGTAAAATGTCTCACCTTGCACCACACTTGGCTGTGAAGATGCTCTGTTCAATCTCGCTGATTGTGTCCCATCCTCTCCATCCTCTAATCCCACTCGCAGCTCCAACGCTCTCAATTTCGCCTCAAAATGATCATACCACTCCTCTTTTCCCTTGTTTCCCTGATCGTTCTCATTTTTTCCTCGCAGGGCAAAAAACGCCGCCTTGCTCTTCTCTAATCGTTCGGTCTCATTTGCAGAGCTGAAACAGAATTTAATTAAAAATGCTAGATAAAAAAAAACAACAGCAACTCACTTCATTTGTGCCATCTGCTGGTCGTGTTTTCGTCGTTTTTCTTCCATCGCAAGTCGTACAGATGCTGTTACACTGCCATCGTACCGATTCAGCTGGGCAGTGCCCGCCTGATTTTCAAAGCCCTGGAAAAACACATCATGAAGTGGTTTTTGGAGAAAATGATAGGTGAACGCTTGTAGTTTGTATTAATTATGAGTGTGTTTAGAAACCGAAACATTGAGAATTTCGGTTATTATTGAAATATGGATAATGTAGCCTCAATTGTTGATTTTTTTTTTCTTGAATTATGATTCAAATCGTTAGGTGCAGGCTAAAATTATTCCCACACTTGTGATTTATGACAATTTCGGGTTAATTTGACGCTATACTCTATCTTTCGAAATCCATAATGGTTGTATCTGGCAATAGAGCCTACCCGAGTTAATTTTATAACTTGCGTAATTGGTTTTTTTTATTTCGGGGTTTTTCCAGTTTCAAAAATTCTATCGAAACTCGAATTTCATAATCTTGGCAAGATCTGTATTACAATTTCTTATTCAAACATGAATTTTAAACTTTGAAGTGAGCTCCCAAGCTATTTAAGCATACTTGACAACTACGCTAGAAAATTTCATTTCCAACACCGAACAAAATAAAAAATCTCACCTGACGGATAGTCTGAAAATCCGTAACCGAGTCCTGATCCATACTTCTCCTTTGTAGAGTAATGGAAGCTGGTCGAGAATAGAACAAACTATCCTGACTCATCCGGCTGACCGATCTTGATGGCCCTTGAGAATGCGATGCCGGAGGTGGGGGATTATACATCCTGGGCCGATTCCGATTGTGCATTGATGATCGTGCAGCAGCATTGGCAGCTCTCAAGTCAGGAATCGCCGATGCCGGTACAAATCGTCTCGGAGAAGGTCCAACGCGTGGTGTTTCGACTAGAAGTAGCATTAGTATTAGAATGAGAATTCCACACCTAGATAATACCTGGTTCTGGTGTGACTGGCGGTTCGAATTGGACAAAAAGGTCAGCCAAGAAGGCGTTCACATTCATTTGAAGTGAGTCACGTAGGTAGAGGAGGTCTTCGATCTCAAAGTGGAATGGGTCATTGGCAAGGTGGTGGTGACAGAATTGTCTGCAAGAAATAGAAAGGTGTGGTAGGTCATAAAAGTGATACTCACTGCAACAGCATCAAATTGTACTGGCAGTCCCGCGTAGTCGCTGCTTCATTAAATGAAATATCAGCCACCGGCATTTCCTGGGGCCTATACCAATGCAAAAGTGCGCAAAGACATTGGCCATCAGAAATATCTTCATATAGATCCTCCATCTCCGGAATATTTGTTACAGAATCTTCTCGTTCCACATCATCTCGTACTAATAGGCATATCTTGTTGATCCAGAATAGCAGTGCATCGACACTATCGATTGGTTTCTCGCTAGGCTCCACGGCGGTGTGGCGGCTGGAAAAGAGATTTTTGGTTTTTGGGTCTATTTTTGGAAATAAGGAAGTTTTTTACGAATTAAGTAATGAGGAAAGTTTGAGAAACTGGTATCATTTCAGTGAATCGTGTGTAATTGGGTGGTGGCTACCTTCCTGACTGATAGTGAAGAATTTGTGGTTTCCCAGGTATTTCGCTTATAGAGTAGTTTGATGTTTTGAGCTTTTGAATTTTCAGAAAATCCTAAAAATCAATATTCTAGAAATTATGAAGTAGAAAATAGCTTCATATTCCGGTGAAAGACGAAGAAATGCCAAAATCATCTGATTTCCAACTTTGCTTGTCTAGATTTTGAGGAAAACTATAAAATAACTGCCCTCATGCTGGAAACGGGCTGGTCCACGTTCTTGTTTGACTACTGTCTTGGCCCAGCTTGACTAGAACCGGATAAGTCGTTGGCCGGACCCAAATTGTTTAGGTATGGTGTTCCTGGGGACTAGAATCTTCGTTATAAGGTCAACTTTGCTCTTTTCGGTAACAGACGCTACAAGGTTCTCTCACAAAAGTATTTTGGAATCAAAATCTATATTTTTCATCTATCTAACCAAATAATACTCACCTCACTGCTTCAACAACTCGACTAACGGGAATCACGTCTCGTAGGTGTGCCATCATCAATGCATCTATGATTGCAAGATGGGCGGACTGAAAATTCCACATTCATCGATTTTTTCAATTTTAAAATTTCAAAAAATTACCATATTAAACGGTGATGATGCAATCAGCTGTGACTCTTCAACCAACTCATTCCCATCATGAAGAACATCAATTCCGTAATCGGTGAGCACGGCGAGCACGGCTCCATGTCCTTTCTGAATTGTTAATTAAGGCTCATCCTTGAGAATGGTGGAAGCTCACCGTGACTAGTGCTGACTCCTTGAATATCTTAGCAGCAGCTTGCGCATACAATGAACCATTGCACAGGGCTCCAAGGACTGCTTCGTCAATTTGAAAGTGTCCCTGAATAATTGATAAGGGTATTTGTTTGTAGTTTTGTTGTGGCTACTTCAGTTAGTTTTGCCAAAGATATCAAAAAGCATTCTACATACAGTAAGGCTCAATAAGATATACAAAAAACATATTTTCAGTGGATTTTGGTTATGTCGACCGATTTCAAGAATCTGGAACTCGGCTGTCAAGTGTCCGATCACTTTGAAAATTTTGGGTCGTGTAAAACAGACATAGATTAAAGACTTTGCATTTACAGCAGTTTTTGAAAATTCCATGTTTTTCAGCTAATTGTAGATTTCTGACGGACATCCTTTTTTCTCCTGTTTCTGAACTTTCAAAAAAGCAGGTGTCCTTCAGAAATCGACAAATAGCTGAAAAAGTTGGAATTTTCGAAAAATTCTGTAAATGCTAAGTTTCCAATCTAAGTTTGGTTTATAACCTCTAATCTAGGTCGGTTTGAAAACCTCTTTTCAAAGGGGTCGGACACTTCCCAACCGTGCTCCAAACTCCTGAAAATGGTCAAAAGCAAATGGAATTTACGGTTTTTCATATCTTGTTGACCGGTATCTTTGTATTTTTGATTACAATTAACGTTTATTCAGCATATTAAATAATTTTCTTGTATATCTCACAAGAAACCAGGGTTGAAGGACTGTCCGACAGGCCCAAAACCTCAAAATTAAAAAGAAAAACTCACATTTTCATCCCGTTGAACGCCATCTCTCAGCTTATCCGGCATATCCCTTCTTTCTTCATAAACCCGTGAAATTAACCATCGAATCGAAGCAGCCAGTTTACCCTAAAGCTCAAAAAATTGATCAATTCCTTTTTTCTCCCTCGCAAAACTTTACTGACATTGCACTTGAGATGATGTTTCATTTCGTATTCTATCCGTCCGGACTACTAAAAATGCATGACAGAAAGTTTTACAAGGGACGATTGGTGACTTTTTCTGGACAGCCCCATTCGTTTAGAAAGGAAGAAAAATTGGTTTTTGATGCAAACCTCATTTTCGTCGTAATCTTCTTGTGCAAGCAGTGCTGGTAGGGCGAAATCCATTCTGGCTACGGATTTGCCAACCTTTCCGTCTGCTTCTGGAAGAAAATTGAGATTTTTTTCAAAAAAAAACGAAGGATATGCAACGGAACGACTTGAATTTCACAACACAAGTGTTTCGAAAAATAGGGAGACGAGAAAAATGGTGAAATTGAGACTCAATAGAGAGTGTTACAAGTGAAAAGTGAACACAGAATGAAAACCGTATGAAGGTTGCAATGACCACAACCACTATGCATTGTATTTATGTGTGTTGTGGTGAGGGCCAATCGGATGGCCGGGGGCCGCGGGTTAACAATGGCCGATGGAGTGAAGAAGAGGGACCTCCTTTTGCTCGTTGGGCTGCCCTCGTATTCTATCTCCCCCCAGCCACTCGGCTTGTCTCTCTTGTCTCTCACTCGTGTTTAGGAGAGAACAAGAAGAAAGAGAGAAAAGAGAAAGAGAGAGAGAGGGGAAAAGAATGGGATGGGGTGGTGGAAGAAAAAGAAAACGGGGCAGCCAAAAGATGACTGCTGTGCTGACCGTTTCGCTTCGACGGGCGGTGGTGGTCGAGATAAGAGAGCACGAGACGCAGAGAATGTCTTGGTCGGGAGAAGGTAATCGTTCTCTCTTTTGTTCCAGAAAGACAGAAGAACACCGTATCACCAATAATCACTTTTTTCCTCATTTCATCCTCCAATTAACTTCTTTCTTCCTAATAATAATTGGATAGTTATGTAGGGGAAAAACAGGAAGCAATTAGCGACCTCGTTTCCTTTTTTCCTAACATAAGATCAAGATTGTCTCTCGGAGAAAGTCAATGAGTAATAATACACTGTGAAATAGCAAAAAAAACGATGTTTGCACATTGAGAGACAGAGAAAATTGGATAACAAAAAACTAGCGGTTTTATTTGCAGTTTTGAGATGTTTGCCAAGTTTTTTGGAAGAGGAAAAAAATGGAGAAGAACAGATGTAATTTTTTAGGAGATATTTGAAAAAAATAGATGAAATTTGTTTTGGAGACCACCGAAGTTGAAATTCAAGGGAAAAATCGGGAAAATATAAAAATTCTAATTTGCAAAAAATGCTTTTGAACTAAATTCAAAAATGTTAGATTAGTTTTATAGAAAATCAATTTTTCAAAAGTATTTTCAATTTTTGCACAGTCAAATTATGGTTTTTAGACTTTAATAATGCAAACTTTTTAAAAAATTATTTTGAAAAATGTTTCTTCTAAATTTGTCTGATTTGTCTGAAAAACCTCGAAAACCTTAAGGATTCGAGAATTCAGATTTTTCAAAATTAAGTAAATTTGAATTTTAGGATTTTTGAAATTTTCAGTTTTTTCGAATGAATATTTTGATTGTTTCATGAAAATATAAAATTTTTAATATTTGAAATTTTGAAAAAACAACGAAATTCAAAAAAAATCCATCAAAAACTTGAGATTTAAGAATTCTAAGTTTTCAGAATTCAAAAAATTCAAATTCAAATTTGTAAAAAATACTAGAGAAAAGGGTTTTCACTTTTTGAAGTGAGAATATACATTTTTCAAAAATTTCAGGGATTAAAAAAATTTTTAGCTTCAAGTTTTCTATAAAAAATATCAAACAGAGATTTGAATTTGTTCCATTAGTTTGAAAATGTTTTATTCAAAAAAAAATTCTAAAACCTTTAAAATTGAAAAAAAAAACTTCAATGGTTCAAAAACTTGATTAGTTCCTAATTCCTGCACAATTAACTTTTTGCTAGAGGCTAGAGGTAATAAAATGAACGCGCGGACCACCCACTCGTTTCATTTTCTGATAACATCGTCTCAATTCCCTATTGAAGGAAGAGAGGGAAGAGACCTCATTAATCAACCGACACGTAGTTCTTGCGCCGACGCATCCTCGGGACAATTTTTCGAGGTTGCGACAACGAGATGACTGTCTGGGTGTGTGCGTGTGTGTATCGATTCGCCCAAAATTTTTGCAAAAACTTTTGAGAACTGGTTATGCTAATTACTGTCGCTTCTAGTAGTACCCGTTATATGTCTCTTGGTGTGAAATGATTCGTGTTTTGCCGCCAAACCCGAAACAGGGGACACTATCGGAAAGGTCAACTCATTTGCTCAGCGGAGCAAAGCAAAAAGCATTAGTAAAAGGATTGACAAACAAAAATGGAAGGAGGCTCCCATATATGGGATCGAACACAAAGTGGAGTTTGTGAGAGAATGGTGAGAGAAACATAGGAAGAAAAAGATGAGGAGAGGGAAACAAATGGAACTCTCTAGCTACAAGATAAATATATCAAAGCTGATGGAAGGAAGGATGCGTTTCGAAATATAGAGGGAAATGTTTTTTTTTTTGCTTTTGTGTTTCATCTATGGGGAACCGAACCACGATAGTGTGAGTGTATCTGGGCCTAATTCTCTGTACTGTGTTTTTTTCTTCTTCTCAATATATCTGCTAAACTCGTTCAGATGTCTTTTCAAATATCCATCCAATCGTTTTTCATTTGCTTTAATTAGTGGTGGTGGAAGGATCGCAGAGAAGATGTTGCCAGATTCTTTAGAAAGGGAGGATCAGGGGGTTGATGCGATTATAAAAGTTTTGATTAAAAGAAAACACCGGAATTCTCGTTTGGAATGGAAAAAGACAAAAAATTGGGGCGCGAAAAAATAGAATCGGAAGAGGATTAGACAAAAGAAGAAAGTGTGAAAAAAAAGAGTTTATCAGCGAAGGTTTAGGAATTTGAGATAACAGTTTTTTTTTTGGAAATATGCGACCTTTTAGAAAAATGTCGAGGAAACCTAAAGGCTTGTGAAAATGAAAGCTGTCAACATTAAAAAATTATGGGGTCAAAATCAAATTTTCAGAATTTTCAAATTCTATTTTCAAAGCTACAGAAAATCAGAAATATAGGAATTTTGGAAACTCGAAAATTCAGAAATTCAGAAATTTAGGAAATTCAGAAATTTAGCGATTCTTTATTTCGGAAATCCAGAAATTCAAAAATTCGAAATTCAGAAATTCAGAAATTCAGAAATTCAGAAATTCAGAAATTTAGAAATTCAGAAATTCAAAAATTCAGAAATTCAGAAATTCAGAAATTCAAAAATTCAGAAATTCAGAAATTCAGAAATTCAGAAATTCGGAAATTCAGAAATTCAGATATTCGGAAATTCAGAAATTCAGAAATTCAGAAATTCAGAAATTCAGAAATTCAGAAATTCAGAAATTCAGAAATTCAGAAATTCAGAAATTCAGAAATTCAGAAATTCAGAAATTCAGAAATTCAGAAATTCAGAAATTCAGATATTCAGAAATTCAGAAATTCAGAATTTTCGGAAATTCAGTAATTTAGCGATTTTTTATTCCGGAAATTCAGAAATTCAGAAATTCAGAAATACGGAAATTCAGAAATTCAGAAATTCAGTTATTCAGAAATTCAGAAATTCAGAAATTCAGAAATTCAGATATTCAGAAATTCAGAAATTAAAAAATTCAAAAATTCAGAAATTCAAAAATTCAGAAATTCAGAAATTCAGAAATTCAGAAATTCAGAAAGTGATGTTATGGTAAACATTTCAATAGTGAATCGTTTTTTTGAATTTTCTCACAGGAAGCTTGAATGATTGGGACACAGTAGAAAGTGTAAGGACACTTCTAGGTTTATAATAAGTTGAATTAAAAAACTGAGAAAATGAAGTGTAAAATTTTAAGTTTCAAAGAAAAAAACTGAGAAAAAACAGCAAACAATAATTTTGAATATCCAACTTTCAAAAAATCAGTGATCATTCAATGATCCAAGCCAGCCAATATTGTCTTGGTTAGTTCTCTTTCTCCCCGAAAAACACTCTCTCCCACCTCTCTATTGACAATCGACTGACATCCGAACACGGCGACCCCATTTTTTCATACAAAACGAAACACAACTAAACACCTACTGGTCAAGTTAATCATTTTATTTTATCATAAACATTTAGAAATAATATAGAAAAAAAATGATGAAATCGAACAATTCAATCCATGGATGAGAAGAATTGTAAGGAATATACGAGAAAAAAACAGAATTAAAAATCGTTAGACCGGTCGGAATTCTCAATGGCATTATATAATAATTATTATTGTGTCTTGAAATGTCTTCCGTCATCCACAACTTGTTTCAAATTCACCACCTCTCGCCGTAAGTCTTGCACTTCCTGGCGAAGATCTTTTTCCTGAAGAACGAAGTTATTGTTTTGATTTGAAAAGTGTATTGTAGTACGGAGTAGAGAACAATCACGTTATCAAAAGAAAGCGTGAGTCAAACTTGTATATGTAAAACTATGACAAAGAATATAGAAGTATGTGGGAAGAGGAAATTATAAAACATACCTTCACAGGATTCGAGCAGTTAGGGCAATTGGCAGATTGAACTGATACATTTTGGAAGTTGTCGATTTCACGTTCCAATTGGATGCACTGAAAGAATCATATTATTTTGAAGAGAGAAAGCTAGTTAAAGGATAATTCTCAGAATCAAATCATCGGAATTTTCGATACTTAGAGTTAATTTTTTGACTCACAAGGCCACCGTATTTGCTAGTGGAAGCCCACCGAAACCGTCAACCTTAAGCTCAATTATCTCGATTCCTGTGAATGATATCAAAAAATAGCCAACGGATAAAGTATTGGTGATAATGTGACAAAAATTTTATCAGTTGACAAATTTTTGATAACTCTATATGGAAATGATCTAAACGGGCTTAAAGTAAGGAAAGTTATTTCAAAACACCGTAAAAACTAATAAACGCCCATACTGTCAGCTTTGAGCTTACATTTAAATGTCTCGGTTTTTGTAGAAGAAACCAAGAAGTGATCTACTGATAAAATGTTTTTGACATAATGATAAACATTTTATCAGTTGACTACTTTTTCATATCTTCTACAGTAACCGAGATATATGGGCTCCTAGTTGGCGGTTTTGGCGGCTTTCGATTAAAGTGTTTAGGTGGCCTTCTATAATAGGTGGTCTCTTATTAGGGTGTTACAATAATCTTAAAACCTCACCTTTGCCATTAGCCTGGTCTTCTCCTCCTGCACAGTTCTCATACAACTCGACATTGCGGAATTTTGTCTCTGACAATTTGAAAGTTGCTCTCTTAAAGCCTTTTCGCCCTTTTCAGCAGCCGAAACTCGACACTTCAAGCCTTCCAGCTCAGTTTTCCACGCCCTCTCTTTATCTTGGTATACCTGAAAATTCGCTAAATTTTGTTCTCTGCTACCAAATGCATCAAATCACTTTGATTATGATTTCCTCATTCTGTTCCATTGTGTTTCGAATCTCTTGTAGTTCCAATTCCTTATCTCGAATTAGATTCTACAAAAAACATTCGTTTCGAGAGAACCCCTATCTTCTTATCACCTCATAATCAATTATACCCGAATCGCTAGGAGATGGAGTTACATGAATACCAGACGAGGATGATGACAGCGTGGTTAGCACTGTCTTTTGCTGATTTATCTGCAATTAAGTAGGTGATTTATGAGAGACACCATTGCGCAGTCTCCACTACCACCGATTAATTGATTAAAAAATGGTTGTGAAGAAGCACGGAGCGTGATAAGAACCTGTTCCGGTGAGAAGTATGGGAATGACGATGAATTGCTAGCCGTCGACCGGATGGACGCGTTCATCTCTCGATTCGTCTCTTTAGCTGCAAAAAATGAAAAGATATGAGAAGTTTCTCACACTGATTTATGAAGTAATTAGTGTCCCTTACCCTGATATATCATGAGAAGATCTGACAAGGAACCGTTGCTGTCCTTGGAATCGCTTCGAAGAATCATCGAGTCTACTCTAGAATAAAGGGGTTCTTTTGGAATCTATGAGAATAGTTTTGAGGGATACCTTCTAAACGATCGTCTATTATTGTCATTGTGATTGATAAAGTCAGGTTTGGGTCGGTGTGGAATGGGTCGGAATAGAGTAGCTTCGTGAGAGTATCTTGGAGAAGTGACAAAATCTATTGGAGGTCGATCCGCATTATCTGAAAAAAAAGTTTGTGAGATTCAAAACAGCTAGCCAGAAATTCTAAAGGGGTTTTATGTAGAAATCGACGTTAAGTATACGGTATTGATTACAAGATCATCCAAGTCGCAAAAATTTAAGGTTGCATTAGATAAGAAACTAGCCAGATTGATTTTTGTGATATTTTGTGGTATTCTTGTTTTTTCAGAGAAATTGGTTAAGCACGGAACTTGTGCCAATCAATTTGCTAACAAAACTTCGTCTGCTCTAATAGAATGCTCTCCAAACCGTACACTTTGGGTCCATATATCTAATTTTCTGTCAAAGGTATCAGAAAGTGATCAACTGATAAAATATTTATCATAATATCACACAGATTTTGTCAGTTGAAGACTTTTGGTATCTTAAACTGGGACTGTGATAAAATGGCCTAAAGTTGAAGCTTACGCCACCATAGCTCAACCGGTAACAAGGGGATTGTCAGAATGAAATTTTGAGGAAATTATTTCTCAAAAACTTTTAGATATGAGTTTGTTCTGCTAAGAATTTCTGAATTAGAAATCAGTTTCTTGAAAATTCAATTGTAATTTTTTTTTCACATTTACCAGGGATTAGCCACAAGAATCATGGTCTTATTGTTATGAAACGTTGAATTTTTTTAAACCAGGTTTTAGCTCCTTTATTACCTTGAAAAAAAAATTTCGCTTTTGTGATATTTGTGATCTTCAGTCTTAAAGTACAATTGTCTACATTTTCAAGATCTTCGCACCACATTGCTATCTGACACTATTGGACTTTTCTATGTCTCATATTTCAGACTTCCAAGAAAAAAAATACTCACAAGTGTTTGAAGAGAATGGTTGCCATGTTCCCGACCGTCTTCTAGCACTGACATCTTTCAATGTTCTATGATCCATTGTAGCTCTGAAATTTGATTAAAATACATTGATTGACTTCATATATGATAATGAATTGGCAGGAGAGTGTGTTGATAACCGAGGCACGAAAACAGTGCCGGCAAGAAAGAAAAGGGTTTTGAAGGTCAGTCAGTTTCGGGTGTGGGGGGCCACCACACGCAATACAGGGAAGGAGAAGAATATAAAGACAACGAATTCGGAACAACTTTCTCCGGTTTTTCGTATAAAACACTCTCTCTCTCCCAAACAGTCAGTCAACAACATTTTACTAATCGTATCAATTAGTTTGTTCCTCCTATTTGGGTTTCTCGAAGCTTTCATCTTTAGATTTATTGAAATTTGCCAAGACTTACAATGCGTTACTAGCGGATTGAGTTGTGTGAACGGGACGAGGAATGTTAAGTTGAGTAGTTTGAGGTTTGATGGTTAAGCTGGAAGAAGTGGGAAACGTATCATGCGATAAAAATCTTTGAAATTTACCGTTGTACTGTAGCTGGAGCACTAGCATCTCGAATTCTAGGTGTTGAGGCACTGGAGTTAAGTTGAGCCTTCCATAATTCTAATCGAGTGGATGGCGTGTGATTGAGCTTTATTTTTTCTTCAAGAAAAAGTTAAACTACAGTACCGGTCAATAAGATATACAAAAAAGAATGTTATAGTTGATTTTCGGTCATTTTAACAATTTTCAAGAGTCTAGAGCTGGGCTGTCAAGTTTCCGATCATTTTGAAAATTGTGGAGGTTGTAAAGCAGACCTAGATTGATAACTTTGTATTTTCAGAATATTTTGAAAATTTTTAGTTTTTCAGCTGTTTACCAATTCTTGTAAGACACCCTTTTTTGGCCAGTTTTTGTACAGAAACGTGAAAATAATCTTTCAAAAATCGGAAAATAGCTGAAAACTAAAAATTTCCAAAAAATTATAAAGTGTCAAGTTTTAAATCCAGGTCTGTTTTACACCTACCAGCTCTAAGGCTTCCATTTCGGTCGATCGAAAATCGCCGACCGCCGACCGACCACCGACCCAGCCGACCGACAGCCGACCGAGCTGACCGATCGGTCGGCGCGCCGACTGGTTTCGTGCCTTTGCGCATAAAAACACGAATTTTTGCGTACGAAGCACTTTATTTCACGACAAACGAGGCTTTTAGTGAGTTATTTGTCGTAAAATACAATGCAGCGTATGCAAACACATTGACGCGCAAATGCACGAAAACGGTCGGCGCGCCGACCGATCGGTCAGTTCGGTTGGCTGTCGGTCGGCGGGGTCGGTGATCGGTCGGTCGGCTAAGTTTTCCGACCGAATGGAAGCCTTAACCAGCTCCAGACTCCGGAAAATAGTTCAAATGGCCAAATATCAAATGAAAAAATAGGTTTTTGTATGTCCTAGTGATATGTACTGCGTGATTAGTTTTCTGATAAGCAACCATCGTAAAACTTGTATTAGAAAGGCCGCTTTAATAAAAATGCCCCTCTAATAGAAGGGACCGCCAAGAAGAAATTGGAAAAAAAGATTGGAAAAAAACAGAAGCGCCCAAAATTCTGGAAATTTCATAATTGCACGGAAAATCGCTGAAACACTTTTTTCTTATTTCTCAATTTTGATAGGTAACGCCGAATTTACCGATGAAAATTTTCTAGAAAAATGGTTGGCAAAATAGAAGGGCCGGCCGTTCTAATACAGGTTTTACGTTATATCATTTTTTTCAATAAAAAAATCTTAAAAACCTACCCGGCGACGAAGACAAGTGCCGTGTCTCCTTAATCCCCTCCTGTATGGTCTCTCTCAATGGGGCGAAAATCTCCTCAATCATAGCTTCAGTGGAAAATCCGTTTTTGCTGCTGCCAGACTTGGTTTCTACCGAATCACCACCGCCTGCTCCACCACTTGACCTTTCGCCAGACGGACCCGGTTGCAATGTGATGTGCTTTGGTGCGGCCACGTAACACCAGTGTGTCGATTTCTTGCTGCTCATCTGAATCGAAATGGATGTTTTAATTTCCGATGGGGAAACGTTTGTGGTTGGTTTGAGGGTGGTGGTGTCTGAGCCGAACAATAAAAGATCATAAATTTTATGACTCAATTTGGGGCAACAACACATGTTTATAGCGGATGTATGGGTTCTTATTGTGGTGAAGGGTGGAAAAGAGGAATTTAGAACAAATTGGGGTTTCATAAACACTTCGAATTGAAAACATACCCCTGAATTCGGTTCTGGCTCCTTTACGGTCTTCTGGATACGTTCACAAGTATAAAAGCGTGGCTGGGGAAGCACAATACTCTTGTGTGTTTTTTCACGACATCTGGAAGTGAGCAAAAAATTGAGACATTACACAAAGAAAACAGGGGAAAGCCCTCACATTGATTTCCGCTCAATTTTTGTCTCGGCTAGACATTCGGTAGCATTCTTGTCCCGTTTTACAAATAACTTTTGGGTCGGAGCCTTTTCCGGACTATTCGCTTTTGAGGATTTTGTCTTTTCAGTGCCATTAGTACTACTGACGGTTATACTCTTCTTTTCAGTGGTTTCGTTCCTGTTTCTGGAAAAAATATGATGAATTGATGACGTAGTAGCACAACACGTAACATATCTATAACACACAACTGACCGATATTTGTCCGACTTTTCCGATTGAGTGACAGCTCGGTGAGATGTGCTTCGTTCTCGACTTCGTGATCTGGAAAATTCTCGGCGAAATGTACTAAAATTGATTCCAGGAAACATGAAGACACAATAATATTATTTTTGACACTCGTCTTTTTGTTAGTGAGGTTGTGTAAACTAGATAGAGGCTTGTCGGGAGCGCTCTGATACATCAACAAGTAGGCTTTCTGTTCCACTAGATGGGAATTTGAGAGGTTTTTGTCAATGAACTCGGGTGAGAGTTGCTATTTTGAAAGAAAAACAAATCAGAAAGAAAGAGTCAGAGAGCAAAAATACACTATATTGGGGAGAATAGAAAGTCATGAGATTTAAGAAGCGCTGGGAATAAAATTAAATGAGACTTTAAAAAATTGTGTTTACGTTTAAAATGAGAAATTGAATTAATTGAGGCTACTACAGTATCACACAGATTTTTTTGGGAAAAATTGTGAACTTTAAAGTCTTTATGAATATTTTGAAAATTTTAATTTTTTTTTCAAACTGTCAGATTGAAACTAATCAGCTTTGAAGTGAGAATTATGCTCTTTTTGAACTGCTGATTTTTTGGATTTCTATAAAGTCAATCCCAAAACTGAAGCTTTAATTTTTCTTTAGTAGAATCTGGTAATTTCAAAAAAATCGGTGAGTTCTGAAATTATTTTTCACGGCTTTGAAGTAGATTATCTTTCAAGAAGTACCGTAGTTCTTCTATGGAAATTTCGATAATTAAAAAAATCTTGAATTTGGGTTGTTGAGGATTTTTCAAACTTTTAGATTCAGGAAATTGAGCAACGCTCACTAATTATTGTTCTTCGCCGCCGACAAAATCGGTTTTGAGGTGTTTGAAATTATCTGTTTCATGATTATTCGAAAAATAGGGTGATCAAAAAAATGGCCGATGCTACGAAACCTAGAAGAGTATTTTTAAAAAATCTCAAACAATTATTTTATCTGAAAATTCAAGTTTCAGCTAATGGGATTCGTTTACTCAATTTTATGACAAATCACAATGAAAAACTCACCGCGCTCTGAATATTGATAGCGGATTGCGTAGCGTCTGCATGGTTAGAGCCCGCTACCACACACACGTCGGAACGACGCAATGCCGAGACTACTCCACAGTCCCCTCCAGTCCCAAACTCCACCTTCCAGTCAAATGTCTACGTCAGGGACAGCTGTCTCTAGTCATCCGGGCGGACCGCTGAAGACAAGACACTATTTCGTTGGCAATCTGCGGCTTATCTCGTCTCGCTCTTCTTTTTTTTTTCATTTTCCCCGGCGAAAAACCTCTCATCTCATTTCTCTTTTGATCTCATTATCTTCGCTTTGGTCTTTCCTCTTGGCGCCATCACGACACGTGTTTTTTCTATTCTTTCACGTCGTGCTATTTATTTTGTTTCCCCGAATACTTGTGTGCTTTGCCATGGTCCACCTTAGACGAAATTGATGTGATGGGTGAGAAAATGACTGGTGTGACCCAGTGAAGTGGTGTGATTTGAAATAAATGGCTCTAAACAAAAAGAAAAATATTTTTTTTTTCTGAGAATCAATTATTAGATTGATAGCAGAACTCTTAAATTACAAAAAACAATTTTAATAAAGCAATATTTTTACAAAGAAAGACAAAAAAATACAGAAGCAGCATTATAGTTTTTTTATACAAAATCGAATTCAGATTTAGCTGTGACGAACATGACGGGTCAGAAGACGACTGAGATCCTTGTCGATAGTTCGCTCCATTGAAAATTCCTTATCAGCGTTTAGTGCAGGAGCTTCTTGGTTCGGTTGGAAGAAACGTTGATGGAATTCAATGACGAACGGGATTTGGTAGATTTTTGCAATTTCCAGAAGCTCATCTTTGAGGTGGTCTGAAAAAGCCTAACTTTCCGTAAGATCTTATTGCGCTTAAAACTTAATTATCTCGATACCTTTAAGAGATTTTGAAAATTTGTCAACTGATAAAATGTTTTTTTAATATCATAAACAATTTTTCAGTTAACACATTTTTTATATCTCTCATTGGAAACAAAATAATTGAACTGAAAGTGCAACAATTAGATGACGACGAGTAAAGACCACCGAAACTGCAAAGTTTGAGCTCAATTATACATTATCACAAATGTTTTACTAGTATACAAAATTTTGATATCTCTGATAGCAACCGAGATAATTGAGGCCAAACTGCAGCAACTAGATGACGCTGAATTTAGGATAAAACTCACCGAAACCGTCAACTTCGAGCTGAGTTATCTCGATTTCTGTGATAGAGATCAAGGATTTGCCAATTGATAAAATTTTGGTAATATCATGAAAAATAATTTATCAATTGACAAAGCTTTGATATGTCTCTAACAAACCGAAATAATTGAGCTCAAAGCGGAACAATTAGATTATGATGAACTTACGCTAAAGCCCATCAAAACCGTTCACTTGGAGCTCAATTATCTCGATTTCTGTGAAAGATATCAAAGTTTTCTCAACTGATAAAATGTTTATCATAATTTCACTAATATTTTATTAGTCAACGGATTTTAAATATCTTTTACAGTAATTGAGATAATTGAGCTCAAAGTGCTACTATCGAATGACACCCTTGAAGAATTTACAGTATATCCTGTTTTTGGTAATGCTCGGCATCCAAAAAGATCAGAAAAATAGATTCCAACTTTGCTACAGATACATAGCCCAGAATTAGTGCAGAAAAACGCTTCAACTTACATTGGCACCAGAATTTATGATGACAGATATCAATCATAGTGACAAAGGCATCGTCTCGCTGCTCATTAAGCGACATGTCATCATGTCGAGAGTACTTATCGGATCCTTGAAGAACTTGCTTGAAGAATCCAGACATTGAAGCTAGATACTGCAATTTATCACTTCTTAATTTATTCCGAAAATTTGAACTTACATCCTTGTTCATCAGAATCTTATACTTTCCAACGTGAATCGTCAAATTGACAGTGGTGATGTTTCGCAAATGCGGGGTAGCATGATAGCTGCGATCGGTAATAGTGCGCTCCTCATTCGCAAAACGTTTGAACCCAATGACTCGAGCTGAGCAATGGACGGATGTCTCGGTGTCCATCATATTGGTAACATCATTCCACTTCAAGAAGGTTGGAAGATAAAGACGATCGTTCTTGTAGCGGTAGTGTTTGAGAATGAACTTTTTGTTCATGACATTGACTTCAGTCGTGTACTCACAGGAGCATCCTGGTGGAAGATAGTGGTTGTACTTGACTTCCATGCCAAGGTAATTGGTCCCATTGAAGTTAAGTTTTGCAATGGTGAGGGTTCTGAGATAAATTATCTTGAGTTAGGCCCGGATTTCTGAGGCAATGTCGTGCCTGTCTGTGGTCAAAGATTACAACTTCAATTGTTAGAACATTTTGTAGTTTTTAAATTTACGCACATTTCTCAATGACTAAAATGATTCCCAATTACCGTAACTTCAAATAGAAGTCTACCCGATATGTGCACTTTGAGTTAATCATCTCAATTTATAGAAAAGATATCAAAAATCTATCAACTTCCAAACCGTTTTTCATAACATGACCAACATTTTACCAGTTGACACATTTTTGATATCTTGCATAGGAATGGAGATAATTGAGCTCGAAGTACAAGTACAGGATGTTTAGTGTTTACGGTATCAGATTTTGATGAATATTGATTCCTAAATTGAAATAGCAAAACGACTTGAGAACTTCAAAAAATTGTTTGATGAAGGAAAAAAGCCTAAACCCTGAAAACCAAGAAATGAACATTGAACAACACAACTCACAAGTCACATTCCTGTCCTCCGACCATTGTTGGAGTGGACGTGGTTGGGAAATGGATGTTTGCTGTTGCCATCTTCCTCAAAATATCTAATGAAAAAAGATGTGGGAGGAGAATGGAAGACGAAAAGGGCACTAGTACGAAAAAAGGGCCTACCACTAATTGAAAAAGAGCTCTGCGAGCTGAGTGTGAAGAAAATGCGTTCAAATGCAAACGAAGAGGCGAGAAGAAAAGCAGCTTGGAGTATAATTTCCGTAGGAACGTGGAATTGGCTTTTTTGACTTTACGAACGGAAACAGCACATTCTTCTTTTTTGTCTTTGGACCCCGCCAATCCGGATATTGAAACCACCAAGGAGAGTAGTAGTCATGGCTGCCAGCATTGATTAATGTGACACGTTTATGGATGGGTGTCCGACGAAATTAGAGTAGTGGAGGGAAAAACGAAACAAAAGTGGAAAGGAGAGCACCATGTGATTTCGGAGAAACCAATAACAATTCGAAGTTGAGAAATTGGAATTTTCGGAACCTGGAATCTTGTTTCAAAGTTGATGATCCTTTAGTTTCTTTAGGATCAGTTGTGACGGTTCAAAATAGAGTTGTTAACAAATGGTTCATTGGACAAAGTGATGCATTTCAAATTAACGAGTTCCTTTGTTGATGTTATGAATCAATGGGTTCAGATGTGGAAACTTCTCCTGAAGCGACACCAATCTTGCCAATCTGGCATCTTTCGAGTAGTCGTTCATCCAGTAAGTCATCACCTCCATCTTGTTCTTCAACACAATCTTCTCACGCTGCTCGGTGACAAATCCACCACATTTGAGAAGAAGCTCGTAGCTGTCACTGGACACTTGGATTCGCATCGCTGAAAAACCTTTAAGCTTAATAAGTCATAAAAACGGTACTGTACGCTCTCCGCTGCTTTCCATGTTGTTCGCAACGATTACAGTATCACCGAACAAGCAATAACGTGGCATTCGGATTCCAACAACACCAGTGACAACTGGCCCGGCGTGGTTTCCAATGCGAAGCCGGAGCTTCTCGTCTGGGCAGTGAGGAACTATGAAGGTCTGAAATTTTCCCTTCGGATTTTTTTTCTATTCTAGATGCTGTCCAACCTTAATGCTGTCCAACAATTCCAAACTAGCCGCTGCGACTTCTCCTGCATGAAGGTAACTGTTCAACTCCGGAAGTCCCGAAACAAACATGTAGGCATCTCCGATAGTTTCAACCTAAAAGTACAAATTCTCAAAGCTCCCTACACTAGCTTTTCTTACTTTGTAGCAATCAAACTTGTCAATAATGGTATCAAAGTTGGTGTAGAGATTGTTGAGCATGTTCACGATTTGTAGAGGAGTACTCTTACTACTCAACGAGGTGAAACCAACGATATCCGAGAAATAGATAGAGACACTGTCATAGAATTCAGCCTCCACGGGTTGTCCATTCTTCAAACTGTTGGCTACGGATCTTGGGAGAAGTTGAAGCAAGAGATTTTCATTTCGTTTTCGTTCATCCTCAAGTTGCTCGGTGCGTTCTCTGATGACGTCTTCTAAATTGTTCCGGTACCTATCCAAGAGGTTCATGATGTTGTCAGCGATGTTTCCTTTTCTGGAAATCAATTTTAAAGTCGTAGTCCAGTTAGTTTATCTAGAACTCACAATCCTTTGCTCAATGGTTTCAAAAGTTCTTTAACCTTCTTGATGTTCGGCCGCGCGTCTGGATCTTCTGCCCAACATCTGAAATTATTTTTTAATATATCCAAGTTTCAAGGATCTCTCTTACTGCTCCACCACCGAAGAAACTGGGTACGGTGCTTTGGTGATCAGGTGAATGTCAGGTCTTGTTAGTGCTTGGCCATCAGGGAACTTCAGTTGGGATATGATTTCTGAAAAAATGTAGTTCTGAATCTTTTCTAGTTTCTCTAATACCATCAGAATCCAGCAAATCATCTCCAAATGGTCCCTGTCTTCCATAAATTTCATAGAGAATGATCGAGAACGAGTAGATATCCGCTTTGGCTAGTTCAATTTTTGAAAGGTCATGTTTCACTGCGTAGCGTCTTATAATTTCCGGTGCAAACCAAAGGAGATCTGAAAACAGAGCGTTGAGGAATCCCAGAAATGTCTATTACCATCTGGCTTGGCTTCTGGTTCATCCACACGAATCTGCTCCATTCCATAATTGCTCAACTTGATTCTCCAATAAGCGTCCACCACACAATTGGAGCTTTTCAAGTTTCCATGGTAACCGATTTTCGAGTTCTCATGCAAGAATTGCAATCCCTTCACAACATCCTCAACAAACGACACTCTAAACATTCGATCTAGACGAAGATCATCATTTCGTAACAAGTCCTAAAAAAGTTTTTAAAGTTGTACACAAATCATAAAACAACATTTCACCATTAAACTTTTCCGCGGCCCATAGTGATGGATAGTGAAAATGAGATCACTTTCATTGATAAGTCCGAAAAATCGATTCAGGTTCTCGTGTGTCTCGTTCATCAGCTGAAAACATACTATGTTCCTTTTTGTTTTTTAATGATTCATTATAAATTGTAATAATCAACATTGAAAAATGATATCATTCTCTTTTTAAAACATACCAAATCAATTTCCTGTTTCATCTCCCTTGTCAACTTCAGTTGACTCTTGTTGATCTTCCTCACAGTGACCAGTGTATTATCGTACTTTGCCAAGTGCCAATCCATAATTTCCAGCCAATCATCCTTATTATTTCCCAATGCTCTATTGTCCCTAGCCATTTGATTTCTTCGAGCTGCTTTTCGGATCCCATTAGTGTAAAAGTTCATGGTGGCGCCACCAGCAGGTGCGGGATCATCGTCATATTGGGACTAAAATAACAAATTCGAGAGGAAAAATAGATTAATCAAGTCTTACTCTCATACTGATTGCACTTTGCATGATACTTCCCGCTCTACTGGACCCAAATTTGGTGGTATCAATCAACTGAACATGTTTCCGATGGACGAGGAAATAGGAGGACTCCAATCGTCTCTCATAGGCGATCCATCTAGATTATCAATGTTTGAAAAGAAGCTAATATGAGAAAGAAAAGTAACCAACCTGACAATATAGGCAATCACGCCAACTAGTAAAATAATGGCGACGACACAGACAGCGATCAAGATGATTTCGAGTTCTGACAGGTTACCTGTTCAACAACGGATTGGGTTACGGTGCCGATTTGCTGCTAGCCAGCGAGCTACCATTTCCAAACTACTACTAAACTCACGCATGCCAACTGGACACAGCTCGTTGTTGAAACCACATTTCGGTCTGGATTTTGGAAGAACGCCATTGTAGATTCCGAGTTCGGTGAGATTTTTCCAAATGATCGACTGAAACAGAAAACTTTTCAAAGAAAAGATTAAGGTGACTGAATTACATAGTTGCCTTTTCCATCTGGTAGAAGTCTGGCGCCGACTGTTGCCCATTCTGTGAGAGGAACTGGTCCATTGGAGCTGGTTGGTTGTTGAGGGGACCATAGGATGTATTCTCTTTGGGAGACTCGATTGGAATCAAACTTAGTCACATATCCAAGAAGGGCTAAAGAATGTTAGGTAAAGAATCTGATAGAAGGCCACTCTGTACCTGCACTTTGAGCTCAATTATCTGAGTTTCTATAAAATGTATCATAACGTAGTCAACAAATAAATTGTTGGCTGATACCATGACAAACATTTTAACAATTGACAGATTTTTATTATCTCTTACAGAAGTTGAGATGATTGAGCTCACAGTGCACGTTTAGGGAAGCTCTCCTATCAGAGTCATTCCGGTATTAGGTCTATTGAATAAGTCAAAAATAGGTCAGCCTCTGGCCAGCTTCTGGTCAGCCACAGTCCAGAAAAAAGATGGTCGGAAATCTTTGTAATCATTTTTTTATTCCTAATTTCATAATTGAAAGTCTGTTCAAGAACTTTCAAAGAAGGTTAAGACAAAATTATCAACAAAATCCGTGTTGGTCCCTTTGGAACAGACACTGAAGTTTCTGAAATCTTTTAGGTGAATAACCAGGACCGAGTGGGCTAAACAGGTTGGAATTCCACCGTAATGAGAATCCTCAAAAAACTTAATATCATTGAAATTTCAATGAACCCATTTTCACATGTCACCCATTCTTTTGGGTATGCTTACATGTGACTCCTCTCCCTGACATTGTCTCCACCAATCGCGTCGGATTTCTCAACAACGAGGTACCATGCACTTTCACCGTTTCCGACAGTAACCTCCCCATATCATATGCATTCACAATCGCATTGCTCGCTGATGTCCAGTAGGCGTCGTCCGACCACTAAAAATTCAATTTCCGGCTAGATATCACATGACTTTCATATTTTTATATAACTTTTATTTATCCAGAAATATCTTCCACTCACCGGATCATTGTTCTTAATCCCCTTCAACTTTGTATCACAAATTGGTGGACAGAACGACTTGCCAGCATCATCGTCGACGCGTGTTTGGAATTTAGTCCATTCGTCGCTGAAGTCTAAATAACCAAACGACTAAACTAGTGAAAATGATATCATGTAAATCACTTTTCGGATAACGTGGCACGTCGGTGAAATACATGTATGATCTGTAGTACTGCTTGATGTCGGCTTCGCCCACACCGTATCCAATGCTAGAGAAAAGAGTGGCAACTCTGTTGGTATTAAAACTAAAATAGTTAGCGGTATCTGCTTCGATTGGTCCCATCATCACAACAAAAAATTTTCCAGTTTCAAGCAAACCTAATGTGGAGAGAACATGCATGAAATATGTTCCAGCGGATGGAAATTGAAGAACAAGAACGTAAACTGAAATTGAAACTTTTCAAAAAATTTTATAATTTTGTCCTCTAATCTTACTTCTAGTTTTGGTATGAGTTTCTAAAACAATGTTGATGATTGACTCCAAGGCGGTATACATAGCACTGAGCAAGTTTGCTGAGAAACCACCTTTCTTGACATAATCGAGCTGAAATAGAAGATTAATACTGTATACTTAATTGCGTTTCACTGTAATTGATTCAGAAGAAAGAGCATTCAGAAGTTGGTCATGATAAGTTTTGTCCGTTGGTCCATCCTCTTCAAAGTTGATCACAGCCACATTTGTCCAACCAACAGATTTGGCAAGTTTTGCGAAGGCTCGATATTTTGCACTAAAATTGAAAAACACTCAAAACTCAAAAAGCCCTTCAAATACCCTTGCGTAGAAGCCATTTCCAAAACAGTAGCTGATGGCATTTGGGACTCTCCCACTTGATCTTCACAATTCTAAAAATTAGTTGACTTATGCCAGCTATGTCTAAAAGTTAGCGTACCACAAGCAAGCTTGGAGCATCATAGGCTTGAGCTAGCGCCGACACTTCTTTGCAGTCCGATTCAACTCCGACCAACGCAAGCATGTCATCAGTTTTCTTCGGTTGGTCCACTAGCATTTGGTTCAACATGCTTCTGAAAGGTTTTATAGTATTTTTTCTGATTTTAGCTTCTCCTGTTTATTTTTAGATGTTGTTTTTGTCGATTTTTTTGTCCAGCACATACAGTACCGGTCAATAAGAAGAACGTGTTTTTCAGTTAAGTTTGACCATTTTCAGGACCCTGCAGCTCTTCTGTCAAGTCTTTGATCACTTTGAAAATTTTGAAAAATGTGAAACAGACCTAGATTGAAAACTTTGCATTCACAAAATTTTCGGAAAATTCCTAGTTTTTCAGATATTTGCCCATTTTTTTAAATACTTTTTGCCTCGTTTTTGTATTGAAAACGTATAAAAAGTAGTGTTTTTAAAAAATCTGTAACTACCACAAGTATTAGAAACACACTTTTAATTGAAGTGCCCCCTAGAGCCTCCACGAAAGTAAGGAGTGCTCCATCTAATTAAAGGGTCAGTCGATTCGAAGTATTCCCCTCTAATGGAAGTGTCCCTTTGCTAAATTACTGAAAAAGTGGCTGGGAAATTTTACGTTTCTATTCAATATGTCCAAACATGGAAATATTTTGAAGTCCAACAGGCAAATCGACTTTAATAAATTGATTTTATGTTTTTATCAGCGTTGTATGTGTTTTTGCTTCATTACTCAGAATTTTTCAATGATATTTTAACTCGGGAATGTAGAGAAAACCCAAATTTTACGGAAAAAACGCTGTCCTCCTCAGAGACTCTACAAAAAGTACAAGGGCATCCTCTTATTGAAGGGCCCTCTAACTGAAGTGTCCCAAAAAAGAAAATCATGCCCTTCTATTACAGGTTTTACGGTAGCTATGAGACTAGGAAATTTCAAAAAAAAGTTGTAAATTCAAATTTTCTATCCAGGTACTCTGTTTTACATCCCCCAAAGTTTCCTAAAAATATTGATGGATACTGTAATTCTGACATCCGCCTTTCCTTAGAAATGAAAACTTGATCACTTTTTCGACGCGAATTTCGAAAATTGTTGATATCGAAGTGATCAAGTTCCATCCTTCTCTCTCTTTTCAAACTCATATCGAATTAACATCAATTTGATAGGGCACTCTAATTAAAACATATATTTATAGGTACACCAATTTCGACATATATCAAAAGTGCCGAAGATGTTCCTGACCCCAAAAAAAGTTTGGGGCCAAGGAGCGAATACGCAAGCATATTCTTTTTTTGCATTCTTGCGGAAATCGTAAACTTCGAAAGTCCTTGCAGCCCGACGGATAAGTCGTCTTCTTTCTAAAGACGCCTTCCCCCCGTGTTCTCTCTCAATTCTCCTTTTTCATTCTATATTGTACAGCAAGATGACGTTATTAGACTTTTAGAGATCAAAACATTGCAAAAACACGGGTGGCCGTGTTAGCAGAGAATGAGAGGAACCGTCTAGAGAAATAGAAAAGAGAAGACGACGAGAAGATGAAGAAGAAGATTTTCGGGGTGTGTGAGGTGATTACGGTAATTTTGAAAAATCAAAAAACGTAAAAATTGATTACTCACGACATATAGTTTCCTGTTTGATCTCCCTTCGGAAACTTTCCTTGTACAGTTGGATCGTAATACTCAACTTTGATATTTGAATTGAGAAATGTGCCATTCTTATGAATACCACCACCATCTTGCAAGCCTGAAAAATAATAATTTTTGAGATTTCCTAATATTTGAAGCCTACCGTAGTAGAAAGCCAATCCCACGTAGGTATCCGAAGTACAGTAATCATTTTCAAAGTCCACATTGCATGCGTATCGTCCAAAGAACTTGACGTGGTCAGTAGAAAATCTGGGTAGAAGAAGCGCGTAGAGCAATAAGATGAGCACCATCCTTGAGCATGCTCTGGATGGAGAATGAAGGATTTGGATTGTAAAAATGACTGGATACAGTACCTTCTTTTCTAATTTCCTGTTGATAATTGGTTTTGTTTCCTGTTTCTATTCCATTTTCAAGTTTTTTTGGATTCACAACGCCCCTCAGGAAATGGAATTTTTCATTTTCCATAACTCCAAACTCTATCCATCCTCAATTTCCGGAATGTGGCACAATGAATCATATGAAGAGACGCAGAGAGAAGAGATAGATTTTTTGAGATATTGAAGCAAGAGCCATACCAATACGTCAGCAACGTGGTCACATTTTCAGAGAGAGCCAGGACAACTGTTGTATGTTTCGAATGTTTTCAATGCATTCCCATGATTTATTGAAAAATGGCTTTCTCGAAGGAACGATCTTTATGATATTGCACGTTTTCTTTGGCATACGGTAGATTAGATTTCTTGGAAAAGGAAAATCTTGAACATGAGTTTCTAGAAGGAGAAACAATTGAACACTACTGTAGATTTGGGATACGGTAGATTTCCTTGGAGAGGAAGGTTCTAAGAATCAACCTGCTAATTTTAAAGGTTCTTCAAACCCATATCTCCCATTTTTATAACGTGAGGGAGGTCAAGTTGTGTGTAAAATGTCAGACCGAAGACTATTACGGAAAATAGAAGAAGAACGTGATTGGTTTTTAGGAGTTATAAAATTTTTTACTACCCCAACACCAAATAGAGTCGGGTTCACAAAACAGACGACGAATCAGCTGATACAGCAATCTGAAATTCTCTCTTCCGGCTTACTGTAACAAATCATTTTCGAAAAATCAAAATAAGATGAAAATGTGCTTCGGGTTACTGTAAGAGGAAGAATGTTCATTTGAGAGAAATATAATACATATATGGCAACACGACGTGATATCCAAATAGGTGACCGGTGAAGACTTTTACTTCGAAGTGAACGGTGTTTGGGGTTTTGGGGTTTGGCAAAAAATACAAAAAACGAGGGAAAATTGGGACCAAGTAAGGGGAATGATGATACAAAAGGTTCTAGGAACTACTGTACAAGAATTTTTCCAATTCATTGCCCATATTAGCCAGAGAAAATTGCTCATAGTTTGAGATGGAGTTTGTTAAGCGTATCGTTTGGAATTGTCCTCTTCAATATCGAATTCTCAGCTTCTAATCTGAAATTTTAGACATACAGTATGATATACAACAATGTATTATTTAGTTGATTTTGGCCAATTTAGGAGTCTGGAACTCGGCTGTCAAGTGTATTTTCCAAATTTTGGAGGTTATAAAACAGATATAGATTGAAATGTTTGCATTAACACAATTTTTTGAAAATTCCTAGTTTTTCAGTTATTAGCCGATTTCTGATTCGTCTTCAGTACAAAAATAGGAAAAAGGGAAGTTCTTCAGAAATCGGTAAATAACTGAAAAACAAGGGAATTTCGAAAAATTTTGTAAATGCATAGTTTTCAATCTAGGTATGCTCTAAACGCTCTCAAATTTTCAAAATGCTCGAAAACTTGACAGACGAGCTCTAGGCTTCTGAAAATGGTCAAAATCAACTGAAAATTACTTTTTTCATATACAGCACTGTAGATAGTTAGTTTAACAAAACGCATGTGATAATTTTTTTTTGTCACAAGGACACTGCAAAATCAAGAAAATCAAAAAATGAACTAAACGAACCGTCTAACGTGATTTTCCAGATCGAAAATTTTGCTACGCAGCCCGTCGACCTCTTCACGAACGGCGAACATCAAATGGGTTTTGACCAGATCCTGAAGCACATGATTATTCATTTACATTATGTCATCTGATAGTTAGAACAAGCCGGTCTATTATCGGCACTATACAAGAAAGTTAGAATCGGTTTTTGGCCTTTATTGTTCAACTATTCTACCACTAAATACACTAATTTGGTACAACAGTTTTTGGTAGACACGCATTCTTTCCGCATTTTTAAAAAGGCACGTATTTTGCATCTTTGCAAGAATAAGGAAACGCGTTTTGCAAGAAACACATATACTCACCATTGCTTGCTCAATCTTGTTATCAATGTTGTTTCCATTGTGAGCCGGTGGGCTAGCAGCGACACTGTAACATGAGCCGGATGAGGATGATGGTGAGCATCCGCGCGAGATTCCATAATGGGGTGAGTAGGTTGGGATGTGGTTCACGGCACATTCAACAACGGCACAATTCCACATATTGGTGCGAGAAGGAGGTGTTCGTGTTGGTGATGGTGGAGGAGCAGTACCACAAAAAACCACCGGTGTGTTGGTTAGGAGACAACAGGTGAAATGGAAGGGGAGGAGAAGTATAGATAGTTTTTGTGTTGGACCGCTTTTATGTGGTCGACTGATAGCTGGTCTCGAGTTCGAAACAAACAGACACACGATATAGGAGGCGCGGGAAAAAAAACGCGACGAGAGGGAGGAGAGGCGGAGAGTGGGGAAGGAGGAGAATAGAAGGCAGAGAGGAAGAGTCGGTGACTTTTTGACTGATCAGATGGGGCGTGGCTTGGCGAGCCGCCAAGGAACGGACAAAAGGGAGGAAGAGTGATAGAGATGGGGAATAGTTGGACTTCAAAGAGAGGGAGGAGCGAGAGAACAAGTTGGCGCTGAGGAGAGAGACAAAGGAGGAGGTTCGTGTGTCCATTTTTAGGAATGACCAGGTGAAGTGGGCATTGGAAAATTAGAATTATCAGAAATAATCAGAGTACCTAGAGGACCAGAAGCAACAAATTCAAAGTTTGTGATATTAGAAACCATTCCTATATGAGCACTTTGTGCTCAATTATCTCGATTTCTACAAGAGATTAAAAAAACTGTCAACTGATAAAATGTTGGTATTCTTATGACAAGCTTCTATCAATGAAAATTTTTCCGATAGCTTATGAATGAAACAAAATAATTGAGCTCAAAGAGAATATATAGAGTCAGCTTCTATCAGAGAATGTACAGTAAGACAATATTACATATATAAAGGTTTTTGTTACATTTTCTGCTTGTCAACTTTTAAAAGAAATTCAATATGAAAAAGTTAGTTTTGCCATATTTTTTGAACCAACCTCATGCTTTAAGAATTCCAATTTCAATCTAAATGAAAACTACAGTAACCCTCACCTTTCAGTGTTCGAATGAATTTCGGAGTCGTGATCTTTATTCACTAATTTTTTACGAATAAATTTGAATTTTCAAAATATCCACCGAGGCAAAAGCTACAGTATCCCTTAAAGCCACTTGGTTGATTCTGAATAGATGTTAATGAAATTCGAATAACTTTGAATAAATTCTGAATAAATTTTAATAAATAAATTAGCAAACGTCGTGTTTCGAAACAGAAGGGATACTGTAGATTCTATTTTGGTCGAAAGAATTCGAGAAATACAACATTTTTCAGGTTTCTGATCCTCTAGATAACCAAATTCCATCTCTGACTACCACTCTCAATCACTCAACACAGGGATTAGAATTTTTCAATGAAAAAAGGAACCTACACAGTTTTGGCTCTAACTAGGGGAGGTCTGAAACTGACGTTAGTTTGAGAAAAAAAGAAAAAAAACTAGGACAAGGGTGTTTGTGCGTGTGTCAACACAAGAAAACACTCCAGAACCAAACCCAAATACCTTTTTGTGCGACGACTCTCATTATCAGCTGATGGTATTCCAGTGTTGATTTGGGTTTCCGAACTGACTTTGACTGAAAATTCTGTTGTTTTTTTCTTGAAAGAGTCTCCCACCTTGGCCATTAACTGTTGGTTGGATGATGGTCGACGCTTTAACTTGAGCGGTTGGTGGCGCGGCCTACAATCATTACATCAACTATTTTTAGGTATTATGACAAATGTTTATGTCTATTCTATTCTATTCTAGATCAACTGAACACCCCAAAAAAACCAGAAACAATGAAAGATATATTTATTCGTCATTTTCACTTTCTCTTGTCTGTCTTTATCAATTTATTCATCATTTCTTATGTTATCTTTTCGAATTTACCCCCAAAAATGACATATTTTGACCGACAATCTGGCGTCCCCATAACCTCCAGACACTTTTGAAGGAATTTATCATGTGGTCAGTAGTATCTTTTCTTCTTCCCCGTTTACCAGTTTTTCAAAAATATACCCTTCTCTTTTTTTCTTTTTTTCTTCCTATGATTTATGTTGTTGCCGATTTTAGACGATTTTAGACTCCCCGTGGTCAGTTTGACACCCTCCCCGGTGGTATGCTACTTATTTGGTCTCTTTATCTTTTTTTATGTCCTATTAAAAGAAAATAATGTTCTTCACATGTGATATGCCTAGTGGATCAAGTCTAAACTTCGGAATGAGTTTTCGCTTTTTTTCTCTGTTTATTCTGTTTCACGTGCTGCCAAAAGTCCCATGCTGAGAGAGATATCGGAATATATACACACACATCTGTTGTGGTAGACATGAAGCGATGAGTTTGCACATATACACACCTGGAGCCGCCGGACTACTTTCTGTTGGTTCAGCTTGTGATTTATCAAGAACATGGAGAGGGGCGCACTATTTTGGGCGGAAAAGTTGAAAATTTTGAGGAAAACTGATGATTTATGGGAAAAAACCACAGAACTAATTAATGGGTTTAAGGGATACTGTAGCTTTTACTTAGCAGGAAATTGTGAACAGTTATATACAGTACCGTCAATAAGATACACAAAAATCTATTTTTAGTTAATTTTTGGCCATTTTTATCATTTTCAGAAGTCTGAAGCTCGGCTGACAAGTTTCCGGTTACTTTGAAAATTTGGGTAATTATAAAACACATCTAGATTGAAAACGTTGCATTCACAGAATTTTTAAAAAATCTCTAGTTTTTCAGATATTTGCCGATTTTTGAAAGACACCCTTTTTGGCTCATTTTTGTATTGAAACTGTGGAAAAAGCCGGCGTCATTCAGAAATCGGCAATTAGCTTTATTGGCGAAAAACAAAAAATTTTCAATAAATTTTCAAAAAAGTTATGTGAATGTAAAATTTTCAACCTACAGTACCAAACAACAAGCTACCGTAAACACTAATAGAACGCCACCCGAATAGTCAGATTTGAGCTCATGTATCTCATTTTCTGTGAAAGATATCAAAAAGTGATCAACTAATAAAATATTGCTGATATCATGATAAACACTTTATAAGTTGACCACTTTTTGATATCATTTGAAAAAAGTGAGATATATAGGATCAAAGTAGACGGTCCGGGGTGGCGTTCTATCAGAGTGTTTACGATATCCACTTTTGGTTTTTTGAAGTTATCTCGAATACTAAGAAAGCTAGGACTCTGAAATTTTCTGTGTATGATTCTCAGAAGTTTAGGAACATTCCAGAAACAACATAAAGTCTGCAGGTACAATGTCTGACGTAAAATTACAGAAAAACTACTGTTTTCTAATTTTCGGGTTTCTGAAATGTTTTTTTACAATGTTTTTCAAAGAAAGTTCTTCGAGTTGAAAAGTTATTTTTCTTTTTTTTTGGTTTTTCTTGTTTTACACCCTCCAAAGTTCTCAAAGAGCTCGAAAACTTGACAGCTGAGATGAAAATAGACCGACAACAAACTGAAAATTAGTTTTTGTACATATTATGGACCGGTACTGTATGGAAAAGTCACTTCTCACTCTTTAACAACATTTTCAAGATTTTGAAAAGTGCCTTTTTCCTTCTTTTTCCGGTGTGCCCATGGTTTCTGTTTGTTTTCCTTCTTGTCACTTATTGTTACAAACCGTTTGCTGATTTCTTGATCACACGTGGCGCATAGGCACTTGTATATTTACACAACATAACAGTTTCTAGACGAATCTTTAGTCCATGACTTCAAAAACGTGAACTAGAGATTGTTATGATATGACCCAAGTCTGGCGTACGTTAAGGACAAAAAAGTTTTGATAAGGAAAGTGTGAAGGAGAACATTGGAGAAGAAAGATCATGTGAAATGTGTCTATTACTATCTTTCAGTTATTTTTCTAATCGTAATAACATATCGGAGACTTTTCTTTCATTTTTTTTCTCGCTTCACGTGCTGTCAGTTGATCAGGAATAGAGCAGAAAAAGTGAAAACAAGAGATAGAGGGAAAGAGATACATACTAAAGAACGTTTTCCTCCAACTGACCATATGTTTTGATGATACACTTTGTTCTTATGTTTTGTGTGGGGGAACCAACATACGCTTGAAAATCGTGTCTTGTTTTTTTTGGAATATTAAAACAATGTTATCTTTAAAAAATGTCGACATTGAAATATCTATTTCTCGAATGTCTCAAAATCGGTTTGGCAAACAACAAAAACTCAAAAACTATGTCGAAATGTTTGCTCAATTTGATTCGAATTGACAAAGAGCAGTAAATTTCGTGTAACTACCCCACATCTTAATCAAAACGACACGTACACCCCAGGGGTCACAAGGGGGGTAAAGTGCTCTTTTTAATTTGTCGAGACATTAAAAGGAAAGACTACACTTTTTTAATTCGAAGCAAAAAGTTATCAGTGAACTGATAAGCATCGATAAGTGGTTTGAGAGGAAATTCTTTAAAAATGTACAGTGCTGGCCAAGAATATGAGAAAAATGTGTGTTTTCAGTTGATTTTGACCATTTGCTGGAGCCTGAAGCTTGGCTGTCAAAAGCCCCATCACATTGAAAATTGTGGAGGATCTAAAACAGACCTAGATCAAAATCTTTGCAATTATAAAATTTTTCGGAAATCCCTAGATTTTCAGATATTTGCCGGGTTCTGACGGACACCGCGTTTTCAGTACAAAACAGAAAACAAGGTGTTCTTCAGAAATTGGTACATAGCTAAAAAAACTAGACAATTTCGAAAAATTCTGTAAATGCAAACTTCTCCATCTAGCTTTGTTCTATAACCTTCGAAACTTTCAAAGTGATAAAAATCAACTGGAAAACAGGATTTTCCATATACCGTAAGCACTCTCAAAGAACGCCACCCGGACCGTCCATTTTGAACCTATATATCACATTTCTTTTGAAAAATAGCAAAAAGTTGTTAACTAATAAAATGTTTATTATGATATCAGGAACATTTTATTAGTTGACCACTTTTTGAAATCTCTTTTAGAAAATGAGATACATGGGCTCAAATTTGACGATTCGGGCGGCGTTCGATCAAAGTTTTTACGGTAGTTATGGCCGGAACTGTCTGAAGCATAATTTTAAAATCTAAAAATAATCTTAAAAACGTTTAAAAACTCACTTTTGGAACTGTATACACTGGCTTCGGATTTGGAGAGACAAGATGAGACGCGGGTTTTGGGATTCCAGATGTTTGAACCACAGATGGCGAGGACGATGGATGGATGTCTGAGAGCGAGCGACTACTTCGGTTCACAATTTCCTCCTCTGAAAATTCGCGAAAAATTTTCTCAAAACCTCAAAACTCATTCTCGGTGTCACGCAAACTCAGCATACTTTTGATCACTGCCGTCGGCTTGGGGATCGCCTGCTTTCCGGGACTGAAGTAGGGGTCCCTGAGAGAATCATAATAATCAACACAAGTCCATCTATCCCTTTTATACCGTGTTTCAACTGGAACCACCTGAAACTGTAAAAAGTTGAATATTAGGAAGCATAGAAGGGGTTTTACTGGGGAGAATAAGTTAGGAAAAAAGAAAAAAAAACTGAGTTATGAGTTTGGGATGAAGTGATAGGTATTATATTTGGGGGTCAAATTAGTCAAATTACCTTCACAGATGATTCATCTTTTACACTTTTGCGTTCAGTTATCAGCGTGTTTACAGGAATACCCTCATTCTGTGTTGGAAATTAATTAGAATCGCTTGAAGAACAAGTAAAACTAATCTAGTTGGTCTAGTCTACTCCAAAAATGAAAAAGTTTAGAAAATGAGAAAATAGAATTTTAAGGCTCACCTTGAAGCGTGACTGGCTAGCACTGGAAGCCATTGTCAGTGGAAGCGGTGGATTTTTCTTGTGAATCGGTGTGCTGGGAACGGTGCTGCAGCTATCCAAGCCGGTCAAGTCGGGATCGCGACGGAGTGGGCGGAAATCCACAGATTTGCAGAATCTCCCAGGCGTCGAATCTTCAAAAGAGAGCCGTAATCACAGAGAAGGGGGAAGACGCGGAAGATGGAACAAAAAGGATTTTCCTCCCTCCCATCCAATTTCCGGATCGAATGTGGCACAGAAAAAGGAGGTCGTGTGTGAAAGAAAAAAATTTTTGGTGGTGGTGTGGAAAAGACTTATTGAATGGCTCATTAATTTTGTGCGAGCGCCGGGGGTGGTGGCGACGCACACACACACACACTTCACTACTCTGCTTATCATCTGTTTTCCACAAAGTTTAACTTGTGATAGTGTTTAATCGGCTCGTGAAAACAAAAAGCAAGCACCTCTCGGGAGGCTTGAGACGTTCTCATGTGTGTTCAGTTAGAGGTCCGGATTTTTTTTTTCGAAATTTTGTGGAAATCAAGAAATTTGTTGAACAACAACAAAAAATTGTTCCTCTAATAAATATTTAACAGAAGCCCAGGAACTTTGAGCTTGATTATCCCGGTTCCTATGAGAGATATCAAAAATTTGTCAACTGTGAAAATATAGGCGATATGATGATAAATGATTTGTCAGTTAACTAATTTTTGATGTCTTTCACAGGAATCGAGTTACTTGGGCTCAAAGTTGTGGGTTTAGGTGGGATTCTATTAGAGGGAATACAGTATATACAGTACCGGGAAAAGTATAACATATGTATTCTTACTTTTAAGTAGAGAAAGTGAATTTAGTTTTTTTTTTAAAAATAGTCTAGATTATTTTAGTTTGACTTCCCAAGTTTAAATTACAGTAATAAAAATGTTGATTGATTTATTTGCCATGTTTTTCGCCAAATTCCATTTTGACGAGATACCGTATTTGCAATTTGAGCTCGATTATCTCGATTCTTATGAGAGATTTTGAAAATTCGTCAACTGATAAACTGTTGATTACAATATCACCAATATTTTATCAGTTGACAGATTTTCGAAATATCTTACAGGAAATAAGATAATTAAGCTTAAACTTGGCACTTTGGGGGTTCTTTTATCAACGGTTTGTCCGTCACTTCACTTTGAGCTCAATTATCTCGGCTCCTATCAGAAATATCAAAAATCTGTCAACTGATAAACTGTTAATCATAATATCACCAATATATTTATCAGTTGACAAATTTTTTGATCGCACAGGAAATGAGAAAATTGAGCTCAATGTGTAAGTCTATTTTGTAGCCAAAAAATGCCAAATACCCAAAATTATTAGAGGAATGAGATCTGTTTTTTTTCACACCGACTCATTTCGCTTGGTTGGATTTTCACAAAAGGTCAATTACAAAGTTAAAGCTCTAGTTCTGTTTAGTGCATTCTGAAATTTTCATACAAATCAAAAATTCTGGTGTCTTTCAGAACTTCAAATTTGATTGCTTTTCAAAACTTGAGCGAATTTCGTCTGGTACTGTAGTTACTCATCAGCAAATTTTCAAATTGGAAACGTTTGGAACAAAAAGGACAGCTTTCAAAAACTGTGTAATATGATTCGTGGAACCAATCAATCAATGTACAAAGCGGAAAAAAAAACAAAACACACATCCGTTCTCTACTGACAACATATCATATCATCTCCTTTCTCCCACCTCAAAAATCCTATTTTCAGGAGTTGAAGAAACAAAAAAAGAAAAAACGAATGAAACAAAAAAGAAACAACGAAAAGTGTCACGTGTTTCATCATCAATCACGTTCTTCGCTTTTTTTTTCATCCCCACCGCCATTGAGGTGTTCAGAAAAAAAGAAAGAAGATGTGCAAAAATCAATATAAAACAAAAATCGTACAGATCTTAGCAGTAAAGTGTTTTTGTTGTTTTCCCTTTTGTTGTTGATTTTTTACTGTTTGTGTTGTTTCTTTATTATTTCTTTTTTGGTAAACCGGTCGCATTGTTTGCCTACTAAAAAGCAACGATTTTGATGAATAGGGGAAAATTATTTTTGTATTGTTGCAAAGGGACCAAAGTAATATTTTTTATGTCAGCAATATCCTAAGACCTTTTAATCTAAGGGTGTTGACTACTGTAGCTTGGCCAGATCAAAAGTTCAAGTGACTTCCTCAAGGTTCAAGGAACTATTGTCAGGAAAACTTTCAGAAATGTCAAAAATATTATCACACAATAGTTCTACTGAATATACTGTTTTTCTAACAATATGATATTTTTCTTATTATGCAAATTCAAAAAAAAAAGAACATTACAATAAACTGAACAAGAAATACATGGACAATATATAGAAGGGAGCATCAAAATTGAAAATTTACAACTCCAGCACATTTCCCCTCCCCTCTCTCCTCAATTCCCCGCACTATACCGCACAATGCATATAAAGTGTATAACAAACAAAAACTAAACAATTGAATCTTTGACCCTCCGCTAGCCAGACTACCTGAACTCAATGGCTTTTCCACTAGTGGAAAAATGATATCATATTTTTTCCGAGAACTATTTCAATTTTCGGGGTGTGAACATGTTTGCTTACAAGGTCTCGTGTCTATGAGTTTGAAGTTTGTAACGAGAAAACAGTGTTGGACGAATGAATTGTGAACAAAACTATCATCAGAAGAAATTAAAAGTTCAAAATGGCCCATCACTTGTGTTTACTTTCCAAACACCCACGTGTCACGAAACATAATTTTGTGGACATTAAAATAAAAGCGAAAACTGAGTGGGGACTAATATCTAAAATGAGAAGAAAACATGTTCCGAAAAAAAAGAAGGGCGTGATAAAAGAAATCGAGAAGATAAGAAATATGGTTAATTGAGAAGTGAAAATTGAAAGATGATAAAGGGTTGAAGATGGGGATGGATAGTTGAGAGATATGTTTTACAATATTGGAAACTAATCAATTTTTAGGCAAAATTGATGAGAATGGTGATTAAGAAGAAAATTTTTGGAAAGGTTCGAACTCATGAGATATGATTTTAATGGATTTGAGTGTTGGAGATATTATAGGCACATATTAGGTTGGAAGGAAAGTAACTGTCCATTTTTTTATTAGTAAATAAAACAAAAACAAGATTATTCCAAGATTGTCAGTATGTACCGTCGTGGTCCACAACATGTTGTCAACTTTTGGGCAACTTGTGGATATCATCCCTCCAACCGCCAGCTGGCTGCCAATGAAACTATTACTTTGGTACATTTTTTTCTCACCGATTTTATCAAAGTCCTTAGGCTCCAGATGACGTTGTATATTTCCGAATAACCAATAATCTGATACAACAAAATCAGAACTTTCACGGGGGTAAAGGAGAACCGTCTAGCCAAAGCGGCTCAGGTACGGCGTGACTTTCCGTGCAACATGAGATTTTGCATTTTTTTACGAAAGGCAAGTCAGACTTGAGCAGCTTCAGCGGGGCGGTTCTCCCTCATTTACTTGTAGTCCCGAGTCAGTTCTATCAGATTATTGGTTATTCGGAGATGTACAACGCCATCTGAAGGGTGACGAATTTTGGACCATTTATGAGAAAAAACTAAAAAATAGATATTCTGATTCGCGGCTAGCTAGCTTTTGGAGGTATGGTATCCACAAGTTACCTGAATGTTGGCAACATGTTGTGGACCACGACGGTGCAAACTGCTAATCTTGGCTTAGCCCGGTTTTTGTATTATTCACAGATGAAACAAGGGGCAGTTACTTTCCTGCCAACCTAATAAGAAAATCGTTTCATTTTTTAATAATTTATTGGGTAAACCTAAAGATTTCGTTCTTCAAAAACTAGATTTTTTGGACACTGCAACAACACGGTTTTTCTGTTAAGTCAAAATAGATTGCATGTACAGTTATTTTCACACAACATTTGATCCGATAGAAGCCACCATATTTGCGTACTTAGAGCTCAATTATCTCGTTTCTTCTGAAAGATATAAACAATTTATCAACCTATGAAATTCTGGTGATATTAAGATAAATAATTTATTAGTTGAAAAGGTTTTGATATTTTCTGAAGGTATCGAAATAATTGAGTTCAAAGGGCACATATAGAGTTGGTCTCTAATTGAGCAAATACGGTAATTTTCTTTGTTTGATTTTAAACGATATATTAGAATATTTTGCGGTAAAAGAGGAAATCAATAACAATAATTTTATTTTGTCCATACGATTTTAGAAATTAGAAAACCGAAACTACATTATTAGCTACAAGTTGTGGGAACATCGATTACCGTAACGTCAGAATGCCCAATCAAATTTTTTAAAAACTCGGAAAATCCTTCTTCGTTATTTCAAACTTTCAAAATAGGTTTGAGAGAAGTGTATGGCGTAATGATTCATATAATATCTCAAAACGAAAAAACGAAGCACTTGCAATGTTCCAACTCTGAGCTCAATTATCTCGATTTCTGTGAAAGATACCAAAATTTTGTTCATTGATTAATTATTAATGATAATATGATAAATAATTTATCAGTTAACAGTTTTTCAATATCTCTCACAGGAATCGAGATAATTGAGTTCAAAGTTAACGATTTGGGTGGGCTTCTAATAGAGGACATACGATAGTCATATAATGACTTCCAGTAAAAAAATGAAGAACGCCCACTGCCTCCCGATTCTCAAATTGTTTGTTTATTTTCTAAAGATTGTTCAGAAAAAGTTTATAATCAAAACAACCAGATTCCCAGTGTTGACTCAATAAGTAAAATGGAAATCAAGAACTCTAATCATGCCAGTTTTCTTTCATAATGTTTCTTATTTTCCAAATAGTTAGCCTCAAAAAATGTGAAAACTCACTCGTGCTAATATAACTTCCAACAGGAAGCGAGTCGTCGGAATCATCGGAACTGCTGCTCCGCCATTTTTCAGCAAGAATCGAGAAGCCTTGCAAGTCTTGTGGTCGATTGGCACGTTTTGGCGACTCGTCCTGAAACAAAAAAATAGAGAAAAGGGCTCAGAATAAGTTTAAACAAGACAGAGTGCTTCTCACTTCTTCAATAATTGTTGGTGGTTGTTGCTCGTTGACCTTGCGCAGCGATTCGTTGAATAACGCCGCCATTTTGTTACCTGAAAAATGAAAATTGGAAGGAACAATATTTTCAAATGTTTGCGGCAGAAATCCGAGAAATCCAACTTGTATGACACCCGACTAAAAAAGGTAATAAACACTTCATCTCCTTATAAAGGTAAAAATCAAACTTCTAAGGATAAGTAAATAAATAGTTAATGGAATTTCATAAAGTAAATATCATACTACTACCAAGAAAACCCTTCATGGCAATACAAATAAAAGGATACTAAGAATTGTTTTCGACAAGTGTCAACATGCTTTGATTGTGAAGAAATAATAGAAAGAAATAAAAAAAAATTAGGACACTCGTCGTGTTCTGCTGTAATCGATAAAAGTCAGACCCGGTTTTTGTTCCGACAGATAAGCGCGAAGGTTATTCAATGTCGCGATTTCGGTTTGTTCCGACAAACGAGAGAGGAAAGGAGCGTTTAATCCGCTACCTTGAGAAATGAAGTGCGAGAAAAAACACTATTGGAACCTGTCGTGGCCGTATACAGGTTATCTAAAATGCAAAAAAGGAAACTTTGATGTGATTAAGATATTTTTATGAGATGAGAGAAAGAGAATTAGGGTTGAAATAAACAAAAACCTGCGTCATTGGACGGAGAACACATGTGGCTAGGTCTCGAAGCGATTTTTCGATTTTTGGATGAACATATGTGTTGGTTTTTGAGTTATGGATAGAGAATATATAAGTCATAACGTGAAAATTAGGTATTACAAAATGCAACTATTGAATATCTGTTTTTAGCTAATGAGATTTTAAAAATTTCAGAATTTCAGGATTCGGTTTTTTTAAATCGAAAACATACTTTTCAACATTTCTGAATCAAGCAAGCTGTCCTGTCCGGTCACTGAAGACCATACTGTAGTTAAAATTGTAAAGCTGACAATGTAGGCAATATGAAGGCCTGGTACAATGAAAGCAATTTATTCCATGCAAATTGCTTTCTGTTAAAATTTGAATATAAAATATAAAACAAATCCGACTGGCGGCAGAGGCAAATTTAAGTAAAATACTTAATCAATGAGCTATACTAATCAATCTCTAATCAAATCCCAAGATGTGTGGGGATATGGCTGAGAACAAGGGATGGATAACATTATAAAATAACCGTATTAGAAGGAATTCACAGGAAGGAAGTGTGGAGACGAGGCGGAACGAGGTCTTAGATAACCGATAAACAATTAAAATGATAGCTATACAATCTAACTCATGCTCTAAAATATGCATATTACAGAAATGTTTCAAAAATGAGCTAAGTTAAAAAGGTGAAAGGAGACATATAGAATTAATTGAGAAGTATAATTTTAAATACTACTCATGATGATAACTTGAAAACCTAGAAAGGGTCTGAATAAGGATAGGGTGTGAAATCCTTCACAGAGATTCTGTGTGGAACGGTGTGGGTGGGTGAAAACAACTCATTTTAAAAATACTATTGAAATGTACAAAAAATGAGTAGATTATGGAAACAGATTACTGTAGGATGGGATAAATTAGGAAGTGCCTAGTGAATTCAATTATTCACAAATGAGGATAATATCATATTTGAAAAAATACAATACATTGAATGGAACCGATTTTCATGGGTGGAAAGAGTTAGAGGGACAGTGGTGGGGAGTCGGGGTAAAAATAGTTTTGAAATTCAAAACTTAATAATTGTTTGGATGTGGGAAGAAAGGGAAGAACATCGGGAAGAATGGGAAGTGAGGAGGAAGCTCCATCGGGAACTGGATCGCAGCTGGTGCCGGTCCTGAAAGAACTTGCCCTAAAATCACTTGGATTTAAAAATGGTGATAATGCCTTTTATTTCAAGGATTTTCAGAATATTATTCGTGATTTCAGATTGAACTAACCTTGGTGGAATCCGTCAAATATTATGTTTCGTGGAGGCAGGACTCTATCACCGATCAGAGTTGGAGGTGGAATTGGCCACGGGGCCACAGCAAGACCGGTGTCAGAAATCCGATAGTCGTTCGGTGGCTGTGCTCCTTCGTCATCCGAATCCGATGTCGACCCTCCATCCGATTCCGGATAGGTTACAATGTGGTCCATTTGAATCGAATCAGTCGATGAGGACCGGGAACGAGAGTGTGGTCGATCTGAAATTAAAGAAAAAATTTTACAGAGAAAGTAAGTTGTGCGTAAAAATAACAGCTAAAATGCAGAAATAAGTTTTTGGGATATTCAAGAGATTACTTGAAACTTCAAAAAATCTTCTTAAAATGTTTTCAGAAAAAAAACATACTAGTGTCGACTGATTTGGTACTGAAACTGGCGGAATCTCCACAATTCTCGATTCTTCGCTTCTTGATAACATCTCCATTCATCTCATCCGAATTCTTATTTTTGTTTCTGGACGAGGTTGTTTTCAGTGGGACAGTCTTGGTGGTGTACTTTGAAGAAGAACTAGAATTAGAATTTGCGGTGTATCCAGTTGAGTCAGAGGAGCCTTTTCCTGCAAAAAGAGCAAAATTAATTTTTGGCGTAAAACGTAGAGGCTCGGGTGCCAATACTTGGCCGTATTTCATGATTTTACAAGTGTTGGCCAAGCCTCCCACAAGTCTTGGCCCATAGTCAAAATGCTACAATTCTTGGCCAAATTCTGATTATTGATTTTTTACCTTCGGACTCATCATTTGAATTTTCAAATTGTTTTCTGTTTTTACCTATTTTCCTACTATTAAAGTATTGAATTTTTAAGAAGGTATTTTAATTTTTTTGGTATAAGAAACATTGAAGTTTCGAATGGTATAACTTTCAACATGACAGAACATTTAACTTCAACTCAAAAGAGCAAAACCGAAAAAGGATGAATCTGCGAGTCGTGAGCACATCGTGAGCATATCGTGAGTTATTATGAAGAGATGTTCAGGTTTGAACAGTTCAATATTACAGAATTTAAACACTCGAATATACAGAATTTCGCCTCACAAAAACACAGGAGACAGAAGATGAAAAAAGTTAATTTTCTGCAAAATTCCACCAAAAAATTCTCCATCAAAGCTGCTGTTTCAGTCGACAAAGGATCTCTTTTTGAAGGTATCACACATTTTTCAATGAATTTTAAAATGCTATGAAAAAGATTCAGAGATTAATCATGCATGTGCAGAGGAAAAATCGCAGTGGAAAAAGAACACGATTTCAGTAAAAAACAATGCTAGGAACTCACAAGAGTTACGTTTTTTAGGATTTGAAGACAACTCAAACTATGTAAAGAAGAATTTATTTGCACTGCACATTTGTAGATGCTTGTTATCCGAAAGTCAGTAATGTCGAAACCACAACTATGAAAATTTTTCGAAAAGCAAGTGATGGTATTAGTTCAAAGACTGAGGATGTTTTAAATTATCGTTTGTATTTCAGATGCAAGAAATTGGATTGTAATGTTCTCGTCTAAAGGATACTTCAAAATACAAAGCAAAAACTGAGGAAATGAGATGACTCGACTTGATGCGATTACACTGTCACTATCGATGAATTTCAACGGATTTCAAATAAAAGGAAACGAAAAGGTAGAAATTTTTTGTGATTAATTTTTTTTCTCATTATTCGTTTTGTGTAGTGTTCTAATAAAATGTTGTAGTATATCTAATTCCAAATACAATCACAACAGAACAACAGGTTTCAATGAAAACACACAAAGCCACACACAAGTCTAGGACAAGTATTCCACAAGTCTTGCACAAACCTCCCACAAGTCTTAGCTAATACATATAATAATGTGCTCGGAGACTTATGCTAGACTTGTGGGAGGTCTCGCCAAGTATTGGCGCCGACAGCCGAGGGGATGGGTTGCGCCTTTTTCAAAGTTTACCCAAAATCGATCTTGGAATTTTCAATGATATCATTTTTACAATAAAAAATAACATGATGCAAAAACCAATACCTTTCAATTTGACTGTAAAGAGAGATGCGGATGACCCGGATCCAGAAACAGAAGAAAGTGGAGAGACCGGTGAAGGAGCAACTACATTGGAAGAGCGAGGAGCGTTCGGGGAAGCGTTGGAGTCGCTATCATAGGCCAGAAACTCCGTCAGAATTCGAGGAGAATTCTGAAATAGAATTTGAATCAATTTTTTGGAAACGAGAACTCACTTTGAGCTCAGACTCGGCGAGCCAGGAGTTCCAGATCACATGATCATATCCCTTCCACTTGATTAAGTACTCCTTTTTGTTTCCTATGGACCGACTCTTGATGATCGTGTCGATTTCATAATTTTGCTTGGATAAAGTGCGCGATGGATCGACGGTTTGGCGGTATTCGTTGATAACTTCGGCGTATTGCTGAAAAACGTTTGAATGCTAATTTCGATATATCACCGGCAGTATTGACGAAAATCGTTTTGGTAAAGCAGGACTTTTCAGAAATTATTCGGCGGAAATTGATAAGGAATTGGCTAACATCGAAATGAAAAGTGGAAATCGCACGTTTTCACCTTTAACTGTTGATCTACTGTAGAAACAAGAAAACGCGTTTTAGTACTACTTCTCATTTACCTACTCATTTTGAAAAATGATAATTTTTAAGTAGTAATGATATACGAAAGAAGGTGTGTTCTGCACTGCAAGTTCAAATTAGATCTACCATGCAAAATGTTTAGTCACAATTTCAGCAGATTTTGTCTCATTTTTCAAGTCGTGAGGTTATCAAAATGAGTTCTTAGAAATCGCAGTATTGAAACTATGTACCAGAACAGGCCTGTGCGGCGACAAATTGCCGATTGCCGAAATTTCCGAAATTGCCGAATTTTTGTTGCCGATTTTCCGTTGCCGAAATCGGCAACGAAGAAAAAGTTGCCGAATTGCCGTTGCCGATTTCGGCAACTTCGGCAACTGAAGTTTTTTTGAATTTAGAGATTTTCACAATGTTTTTTAGTCAAAAAAATGATTTCGAAGTTCGAAAAATCAAATTTTGAACACCATCATCCCTCAGAATGAATTTTAGAGGAAATGTGTCCCAATAATCATCAAAAATACTTGCATCGGATCTTAAAATGAGCTTCAAATTTGTGAGCATAGGAGAAAAATAGATATCATGAGTCACAACTCATCAAAAAAATTATCCAATCTATCTCAAATCTCTAGGGAACGTGTGTCGTGATTTGCCTAACAAGTTGAGCGCACTATTTTCAAAACTCACAACCGGAAAAAATATTTTCAACCATTGGAATACCCTTTATCGCTGAAGTGAAATAGTTTGCATAAAAAATGTGGTCTTTAGTTGCCAATGTTTGTAATTACTTTTAAAGAAACTTATGAAACACATTTTCTGTAGTTCTGAGCCTGATAAAAGCATTTTCGGGTGAGTTACGTATCGATTTTACTAAAAAAAAAAGACGCAAAACTTTTGTTGCCGAAAATTGCCGAAATTGCCAAAAAATTTAAAAAATTTGTGATTTTTTCCCACCATTTGGATGGGTATTTTTTTTGTTTTTTTTTTTATTTTATCGAGCTTCTGTCAATTTGGAAAACTTACTTGAAAAAGTAGTGATAACTGTTTGCAAATATTATTTTACAACTGATAGATAATCTATTTTTGAATTCACGCTTTTCATTATTCATTCATGGTCCGTATAGGTCCAAAAACAGAGCTTCAAAACCCCCCTTCCAGTGATTGAACCCTTCAAATTTTTTTTGGAATTTTTTTGAAAATTTTTTTTTCTAAATTTTGTCTCTACTCTCTTGAATTGATAAAATTTTGAAACACATGTCAGAGGGATCCTGAAATGTCGCAAAATAAGAAAACAAAAACAAAAAAAACACTAGAGGGTCCGAACCCACAGCCTTGTGACTACTGGCGCCCACCACAACCCCGACACCACGCCGTCGACATTTACTTTTGATTCGAAAGGCGCTCAAATGTCAGACTGTCTTCTAACTCCTTTTAAAGTGGTTTCGGGGATGAAATGTGTGGTAAAGCACGCAAATCAACGAATTTCAGTACTAAAACTTTGGACTGATATAACTCTGCTGAAATTGGCGAGCGTGCTCTAAAATTTTCATGGATGTCTAGATAGGATATCCTTGACATATTCTAAAATTTTCATCAAAATCCAAACTGACGAGGTGTTGTCGTTCCCTTGTTATCTAAACGAAAAAATATACAATACAATGCGAGGTTCGCCAATATGAATGAGAAAGGAATGACGAGAAAAGAAAAAAAAGTGACGAGCGATGGCGGACCGATCAATACTGTGAGGGTCCGCAGAACGGTGCAGAGAGAGTGTGGTAAAAAGAGAGGGGGGAAAAAACGCAGAACTAATTATCTGACCATCTAAACAACAAAAACAACAAAAACAACTACTTTTGGCGCCATTTGGTGGATACGCGGTTGCGCGTCGCCTCTTGTGTTTGCGGACTTTGAATCTGGAAATAAATCTGGTTTATCCAGATTTAGCAATTTGGTTTTAGGCCCTCCGAAGAATACATTAATCTACAATGTAGTGAGTCCAAACTACCGTAAAAACTGTATTAGAAGTGCCCGCCCTTTTATTTTTCGTAAGGTCTCTTAGGGGCACTTCTATTTTTCGCGGGTCGCTGAGAAGGGCACTTCTATTATAGGGACATCGTCCTTCGGTTAAAATTTTGTTGTTTTTACTTAACCATTTTTTAACATCAATAATTTTATAATAGGATCCTTTCGTATTCGACTGGACATGTTGGAACGGGAGCTTGGTTGGCGGGGCTAGTGAACATGCAAAGTCGAACACGTCCGAGACCATCTAGGCGATACTTTTCCGGCTTTTCTTCGGAATCCACGTTCAAGTTCTCCGTGATCATTGAGTCCTCAGTCAAGGTTTCTGAAAAAATAACAATTTGCTCCTGAATTGCTCTCACAATAGAACACAATCAGTTGCTTCTTGAATTCTCAGTCTATGTGATGAAACACGTTATCATCTTGCCCGGCTCCGATGAATCGTCTGACAGAAAATGTATTTAAAGGCACATCATCGGCCTAGAAGCAAAAATAGGTACGGTTTTGGCAACGAAATTCATGCGACTTTGATACAGTACTTCGGAATTATTTGATTTTTGCCTATTTCCTTCAGATTGGCGCTTGTTTTCGTTGAATTTCTACCTATTCCCATGAATAATCAGCTGAATTAAGAAGACCATCTAAAATGGGTTATCGAATATTAATCCCAAGATACTGTATCAGATGTGCATGCATATATTTGTAAGAACTGTAGCTGTTTCCGCTTCGGGACCAACAATGCGCGAAGCCACAAGGTTCTGCACCGTCGCACGTGTCAATCGATGATTTGTAGTTGGAAAATTCTTACCTTGCTCATACTCAGAGCCTTCTGACATGAGGGTGATATCCCCCAATCCGGCAATATTGTTTTTAGCGTCTCGCTCCGTCATCAATCTCTGCCGGACTCTCTCGTATTCTACTGGATCTGTTGGCACGGGGGCTTGGTTGGCGGGGCTAGTGAACATGCAAAGTCGAACTCTTCCGTGGCCATCTAAGCGATACTTTTCCGGCTTTGTTTGGGATTCTTCTTTTGAGTGCTTCATGGCTGACTGTTTTCTGAAAATAAACGAAATGTCAGCGAGATGCGGCGATATACACAAATGAGAAAAGAATGACGGGAGAGGGAAAACTAACTGGAGAACGAGGACGGACCAATCAATAAAAACAGAAAAAAATGTATCTCCTCTTTCAGTTTTTGACATTTCTGGAAGTTTTATAGCTCAAAAGAACCGCAATAATTTACTCTTCATTGTGTAGAACGCCGGAGTCTCAAATGGGCCATCTTCGCCGTCTCCTGGGTTGGTAACGACATCCTCAATCGGAACATCTGGGCTATCTCCGCTGTCTTCTGGGTTGCTTACAAGATTATTGAATCCTCCATGTCCATCTAATGTACTGTCTTCCGGTGTGAGTGCAAGAGTCTCAAACGGGTCATTTTCGTCTGCTCTGCCAACTTCGGGCTCGGCCACAGGACTATCGAATGCTCCATCTCTATCAGG